TGCGGCTTGAGAATCTTTGGCCAGTGCTGTGACCTCAGGGACACATTTGCTCCCAAGGATGTGAGTCTGTGGGGAGAATCTGAAGATCTGCGGGTCCTGTGGGAGAGAATATGGAATTAGGACAACAGTTGCATCAAAGTGTTTAAACAGTATTTTGATGGATCCTCGTGGGAAACGATGACGACAGGGACACTGAGGAGAGTGTAAGTCAGCGGTGCAGATACCGTTTGCCCTTCCCTGGACTCCCTGGCTTGGGCCGAGCTCCCGGCGTCTCCTCTCCCGTGCATGTGTGACCTCATCCGTTTATGTTGCTGTGGAGTGGTTCCAAGCCTCTTCTGCCTCCAGTGCTCCTGCTCAGTGTTTAGTTTATTTGGTGAATTTACGACTAGGGAGTTACCCCCCTGTGGTGGCAGAAAGATAAGGCCGCCCTTGGTGGGGGTCTTTATCCTCTCCCTGGCTGAGCAGCTGTTTCCAGGGCTCTGTGCAGGTGCAAGCAGGCGCCTGTCCCGGTTCCCCACTCCATTCCATCCACCTGTTCCCTCCTCCACACCCCCACCAGAAAAGCAGAAAAGACCAACAGACTAAACAAAGTATGCGGGGGCCAAGCTTTCCTGCCTCCTCTGCACTCCTCGGGTCTCCCCCGCAGAAGACTCCTGAGCCGCCCTGCACGCTGGGACCAGCATTCTCCGAGTTGAGGAGAAGCAGGTCAGGGCTCACGTGTGAAGATGCCGTTTCCACGGGAGGGGGCGTGGAGCTCAGAGGGCTGGCGGTTGACAGGCCGGATCCTGGCCACGGAGGCCCAGGCTCGGGTTCCGCCGGAACTTCACCATGTCCCTGGTGACGTCAGCTCCTACGTCAAGAAACAAACACCAGATTTTCTTTCCATGCAGCAGTTTTATAAATGGATTCTGCATGATTGCTTTTCTTGAGCAGAATGGCGTACTGGTATTTCTGAACCCTCTACAACAGTCCTGCTGTATTGGAAGCAGTCTGGTGGTCTTATGCAACATCTGGTCTGCAGGCCTATTTTCTCTGGCTTGAAGGATGTCTTAAAAATATGAATTAGTTGATCACATTTACAAATTTTGCTATTTTGTACAGAACTCCAGATTTCTACCTTGTCTTGAAAGATCAGAGAACTTGGCACAGCGTTGGCCAGGAGCTGCTGCCTTGAGGCCGGGCAGGTGGGCTGTTGCCCTGCTCGCCTGCTGCCCATGCTGCCGCCCTGAGGCACTGGCCTTCGCACCCTTGGCAGCGTCAAGAGACAGCTATGCTGATGATTAAGGTCCGCTCCGGGATTTCTATAAAAAGCTGCTCTCCCCTAAGAAATAAGGCACCGGCGGGGAGGGACATCAATCCAGGCAATGTTTCTGTCAAGAGAAAGCCGAGGAAAGTTCCACAGGCACCCTTTTGCCCTGAAAGTGCATTGGAAGGTCGTGTTCACGTATCGTTTCAGCCCTCAGAGAAGTCCATCTGAAGCTCTGGTTGGTAGGGAAGTCGCTACCACTGTAACCATACTGTTGTATTGGCCCAAACGACTTGTTCGGAACCTCCTGTGTCAGTGTTACGACAAAAGAAAGTCCTCCTTGTTCTCCTGTTTTTAGGTACGCAAGCTTCGGTGAGGCTGCCCACGAGCACCTCTGTTCTGGGGCTCGCTGGCCTCCTTGGAGAGTCCTGCCAGGTGGCCGCTGTTGGCAGGTGGTGTGGCTGGCCAGCTCCCGGCCCCGGCCGCCTGCTTGGCTCCGGCCAGCACTGATGCAGGGTTACAGCTTAGCTTTGGGAAGTCTCCGGCGCTGACCCTGGGTAGAGCTTCCCTGGGTGTCGTGCCGGTTGAGGCTGAAGCCGGGAGGCGTTAAGTGATTCACCCCCAGTCACACTGCTGATTAGTAATGGAGCTGAGATTAGAGCCCTAAGTGTGGCCGCACCTGCTGCACAGGGGCTTCTCCCTCACCCTGTCCTCCTCTCGCCCCTGCTGGCTGGCGTGGCTGTCTGGCCTGTGTCTGTTTTCTGGAATAGCTGTGAGCTTGCAGTGAGGTGTTGGACCCCTCCCCTTTACCAAGCCTACTACTCGTTCTGTTCTCACCTCTCCTCTTCCGTTGTCTGTGGAAGATTGCTCACCGCGTCATCTTTCCCACTGGTGTTTAATGTCAGCCCAGGGATTGAGCCCCTCAGTGATCTTTGTTTCTGTCTGTCTGTCCATTCCTTGTGTCCTTTTGTTTTTATGGCTGTGCTGTGTTGGCTCTAAGGATACAATGTAGGGGTTTTGGGGTTTTATTTTCCTTTTTTTCTTCAAGTTTTCTTGTTTTCTGCGTTATCCATGTTTCTTCCTGGGAGTGATTTTGATTTTCCTTTTGGTTATCCTGTTTATGTGACTTTCCTTTAAAATGTTAGGCTTTGCTCGTATGTTTTCTGATCCTTGGTTCTCCCTGCCTGTGTAAATACTTAGGGAGCGTTGCATCTGACAGGGAGTTCTTAGTGCTTTGAAGGCCTGGGATGGGAGGTTCCTAAGCGTGCAGCGTGGACAGCCTTCGTGGTCGGAAGCCTCGCCTGTGTGAGCTGCCCTGATAGTCCTTTTAAGTTCTGTAGGGGGTACCTCTGCTTGGAGTGGGGACTGGGGTTGTGTCGAGGTGGACGTTGGCAAACGGATCTTCACGTCCTGCAGTGTCAGCTCTACCTCAACGTACCCAGAGAGGACTCAGCGGGCCCTGCTGTCCACTAGGTGGGGCAGCCACTGTTACCTCCTCTCCTCCCTGCGCCTCGCACAACACACCAGGTGCGGGTGTAGCTCGTGCCCTGTGCTCTCCACCGTTCCGAGTGCTCTGCCCTTACTCACTCGCTTGATCATCCCAAAAAACTTAGGAGTAAGAACAGTTATCACCTCCGCCCCCCGCCCCCCGTGATGGTTGAGGAAACTGAGGCACGGTGCAGTCAGGGTCACACCATGTGTATCGTAGGGCCTGTCTGGGAACGCACAATGAGTGGCATGGCCATGTGGTCAACTCCCCATTGCCCCCGCTCATTAGCCACAGCCCCTCCATCCCCAGATCCATCCCAACCTCCCTACCCCTCACCACTCGCACTTGGAACTCAGTGGTCTCCTTCCTTGTCTCCTCGTGTAGCAGTGAGAGAAGTTTTTGCAAAGTGCAGACTGGAGAGTGGATGTCTCCTGATGAACTCACTCCAGGTCTTGTCCTCTCGACCGCCGGAGTGAAACTCCATGCCCTGGCCATGGCTGGGAGGCTGCCTGTGGCCCATCAGCCCGCTCTTCTGAGTCCTCTCTCCCCTGCTGCCCTCTCCCTGCCCCTTGCACCTGCTGAGCGAGGCCTGAGCCGTCTGGCTGCCATCGGGGGCATCTCTCTCTGCCCCCCACCAGTGCCCTCCTCCTTGCACTGGCACAGACTCTCACTCGTTCTCAAGCACGCAGGAGCACCTGCTCTCTCTCGTTTGTGTTTGTTCCTCCAAGCTAGAGAGAAAGCTCCTCGTGGATGCCACAGGGCCTGGCTGAGGACTCTCCTTGAGAGCTTGGTGACCTTGTACAGTGCCTGCCTCTGCTGCGGCCCCGCCCTGCGGCCCCACCCCACCCCTCACAGTCACCGCTCCTGCCTGTGCTTTCAGTTTGTAAGGGAGGTGTCTTTCAGTCCCGCCCACCAGGATCCCTTTCCCATCACAGTTTTGGGTCAGTGCCTGTTACACTGCAGCTACTTCTGGGCCAGTTGACACCTGCAACCCTCCTCCCCGATACTGTTGCTTACCCTCATTCTTACTCTTTATTTACATTGAAGTTTAGATGAAATGGAAGCTGTGTATCACAAGATAAATGGAAAAGCAAACCAGTATTATCTGTCATAAATAAGTGACTGTGGAAGTTGATGTGTACTAGTTAAGAAAACGAATCCGTGTGTCATTTAAGATTGTCAGAGTTTCAGTTTGTGTGCTTTTCTGTAAGCTGGTGTTCTCCTGGAGTGGAGAGCGGCCAGGGTGGATTTAAGGACTGACATCGTATTGGGTCCCCATGTTTGGTCGTTGGTGTCGGGCACAGCAGGGCATCTGCGCTGTTGGTCAAGTCAGCTTTTCTCAGAGCCTGCTGGCCTGGCTTTCAGCATCTGTGTGCATGGGCACAGGGTGGGCCGTGTCCTCATGGCAGCGTCTGTGTGCACAGGATGGGCCGTGTCCTCATGGCAGCGTCTGTGTGCATGGGCACAGGGTTGGCCGTGTCCTCACGGCAGTGTCTGTGTGCACAGGGCGGGCCGTGTCCTCACGGCAGTGTCAGTGCACGGGGCGGGCCATGTCCTCACGGCAGTGTCTGTGTGCACAGGGCGGGCCGTGTCCTCATGGCAGTGTCTGTGTGCATGGGGTGGGCTGTGTCCTCACGGCAGCGTCTGTGCACGGGGTGGGCCATGTCCTCATGGCAGTGTCTGTGTGCATGGGGCGGGCCATGTCCTCACTGCAGTGTCTGTGCACAGAGCGGGCCATGTCCTCACGGCAGTGTCAGTGTACAGGGTGGGCCGTGTCCTCACGGCAGTGTCTGTGCGCACAGTGCGGGCCATGTCCTCATGGCAGTGTCTGTGTGCATGGGGTGGGCCATGTCCTCATGGCAGTGTCAGTGTACAGGGTGGGCCATGTCCTCATGGCAGTGTCAGTGTACAGTGCGGGCCATGTCCTCATGGCAGTGTCTGTGCGCATGGGGTGGGCCATGTCCTCATGGCAGTGTCTGTGCGCATGGGGTGGGCCATGTCCTCACGGCAGTGTCTGTGTGCATGGGGTGGGCCGTGTCCTCACGGCAGCGTCTGTGCATGGGGCGGGCTGTGTCTTCACGGCAGTGTCAGTGCACGGGGCGGGCCATGTCTTCATGGCAGCGTCTGTGTGCACAGGGCGGGCCATGTTCTCACAGCAGTGTCTGTGCACAGGGCGGGCCGTGTTCTCACAGCAGTGTCTGTGCACAGGGCGGGCCGTGTCCTCACGGCAGTGGGGCTCTGTTTGAAACTGCTGTCTCGCTCTAGGACTAACTGCATCACACCACCATGGATGTTCACTTGGAGCTGAGACGGCCGTTCCAGGGGCTGCACAGTAAAAGAATGAGGATGACCTCAGGTTTCCGGTGGCTCCTAGCAACACTGCCTCTCCTCTGTCTGATGAGTCAAGTAAACGGCCAGAAGAGGGGTGAGTGCCTGACTCGGAGGGCGTGAACAGGTTGCAGTTCTGCGTTCATTTTGATCATGTGGGACACCTCAGGCTCCAGGTGGTTAAAATCTCTGCACTCTCGGGTTTTCCTTTTGAGGCCCTTATAGATCAAAATAGTCCTTTACGATTAAAAGTTAAGCTATACTATATACACAGTGGAACTGACCCCTTAGCGTCTTGCCGGTCCATTCGGCAGTGTGCCTGCCCGCACAGAGTGCAGAGGCTCAGAACCTGCAGTGCTCCATGGAGCTTCTGGCCCCACCTTGGTCGGGCTTCCAGTCCTGCTCTCCACCGGCACTGCTCTGGGGTTGACACAATAGAGAGATCAGAATGAATCTGTGTATTTGTTATCCTGTTCTTTACATGTATGTTACGAATGGCTGTGTAGATTATTACCTAGCTTACTTCTGTAAAGGATATCATTATCCTGCTGTCCCTTGCTTGAGCTTTTACATTTTCTCCACAATTAAACAATGCTCCCCCACCAGGGTCATAAATTAAATAACCATATTGTTATGACTACTGATTTTTAATGTGACCACTTCTAATGCAGTGTTTCTGTTTTCTGTCTTACATAAATAGCTTTATAGTTTATTGCTACCATGAATATTCTATTAACCTTGTATAAAGAGAAAAATGCCCATCTTCACCAGCATGTACAGAGACTGTTCATACGACAGTTGTTCTCCCCTGCCTTCCCCCCTCCTCCTCTTGCCTGCTTGCCTCTCTCTCCTCCCCTGTGTGACCTCCTTTCTGGGTCATCCCACCTGTACTGCTCATGCGGGCCCTCGAGCAGCAGTGATTCACAGACGTCAGCGCTCTCAGGACTGTGGTCCTCCGAATCGGCTGTTGCTCTCGGTTGTTGTAGCCCTGCCTCAGGCATGGAGGAGCTCGTTACTGTTGTCCTGGCCGTCTGAAGGTTGCAGGGGGGGTTCAGTGTCAAGTGTCCTTGGGTAGCAGCAGTGGGCAGCAGGGGGGCTGTAGTGGCTGGGGTGTTTAGGGCTGGGTAGGACTGTGTGAGGCACATATAGCTTACTTTTTTTTTGTACATGGAGCCGTGCAGGGTACAAGGGGGCAAGAATTGCCCAGCTCTGTCTTGGCCCCATCATTGAATCTGCACATTCAGTCCTCTCCTTCCACCTGTGGTTGTTGTCTGGAACCAGGATCCTTGATGGAAGCCTCACGCCACAGTGCAGTAGCAGTTGGCTCGCTTTCGTCTGCTCACTCTCTAGCCTTCCTGAACCCATGCTGCAGATCAAAATGCCTAATCCTGCAGAGTCCTTTCTTGCCCGAGAACATGGACGCTGCAGCCCAGGTGTCTGTGCTGCGGCGCTCTCGCAGTGCGGCTCGGTCAGTAGGAGTGCCGTGTTGCGAGCGTGTTTCTCCCCCTGCAGGGGCTCCCCGGGAGCTGAAGTGTGTGACTGCCAGCTTTCAAGTGTGGGACTGTTCATGGAAAGGCCACGGGACCTTGTACGAAGTCTGCATTGAAGACAGGTAACGGAAATCCTTCGAGAAGTCCTCTGAGCTACTCCGTGCCCTCGTGTTAGGTTGTAAAGATTTTATTTTGGAATCTTAAAAAACAACACTCTGACTCCTAGCTCCCTGTTTGTTAGAAGTTCTGAGTGACCTCAGTAAAGATGTATGCGGAGCTTTGGTTCTTGCACTGCAGGGAGAGCAAGTGCACCACTCGCCGCCAGCTTGCTGATCCGCTGGGGGCACACACTGCTGCCCCAGCTCGTGCTGCCCGCGTCAGCCAGGAGAGGTCAGGAGCAGTGGTTCAGCACACAGGAAGGCAAGGGGCAGGTGTGCGGGGCTGCTGGCATGGTCGATTGTGGCCATACAGGCCCAGTTCCTGCTTGTCACCTCCCTGCCATCTTTACCAGGTGATCTCACAGATCAAGGGGTCCTGGGGGAGCAGCACCATGTCCACACCCCAGAAGCATGACGGAACCAGAAGGTTGATTTTCTTTAAGAGGGCTTCCACCTCACTGGCCAGAACCCAGTCGGATGACCAAAGCTGGCTACCCAGGGGCTGGGCAACGTGTCTTCCCAGCTGGTGCAGGCAGTGTGCCCAGGAAGCCCGGGGCTGGGTTCGTTTTATTAGGGAAAGGAGAAGTGGCTCTGCTGCCACCATCTTGCCCTCCTCGCAGGTGATTGGGGAGGGGGGGGGTTTGTGTGCCTAGAAGCTCCTGAGCCTAGAGTGGAGCCCTGGGGCCGCCTGCATGCAGGCACAGTTCCTGTTGCTTTTCCCGAATCCCAGCAGGCCACTGGGTTGCCTAGCAACGCCAGAGGAGTTCCAGCCTGACTTTCCCAGTCCCAGTTTGCTGATGAATGGTCCTAACATAAATGGAGATAAATGTGTATTTAAATCCGTCGAGTCTCTCCCCACTCGGTGTGTGTTTACTTAGCATCAGTCTCAGCACTGGGGTAATTTATCGGCCGGGCGCTGGCTTGTGTTGCAGAAACAGCCTTCAGATCTTGGCTGCCTCTGGCTGTGTTCTGTGTCCGTGGGAGGTCAGCTGGGGTCTGTGCCTTAGGTCTCTCCCTTAGAGCCCCAGGCTTTCCCAGCCTGGTGGCAGAGGAAGGACACAGGACACAGCTGCCCTGGCTTTCAGAGCTTCCTTCCTGGGCCCACAGAGGTGACAGTCACTCTGCGCCTGCCTTGCTTCAGAGGGGCAAGGAAAACAGGTCTTGCGAGTCAGAAGGAGGAGGCCTGGAAACATGGGTGGGTGGGCCGCCTGCAGAAGAAGCCAGTTCCCAGGAGGCAGTAATGACGCTGGGCTGCCGTGCGGGCAGGGAAAGCTACCTGGGAAGGGCCAAGGGAGCCAAGACCAAGGAGCAGGCAGGTCTGGAGAGGCGGACGGAGTTGTGGAGTCAGCACACTTCATTTTCTCAGCCGAAAACGAGCAGGCAGACACTCCGGCCTGGACGGGGATGGGCACCGGGGACCGGCACTTGCACATGTGCAGTCGAGCCATTTGGGGAATTCCGCTGCTTTGGGGTCCCTGGTGCCTGAGCTGCGTGAGGTTGAGGCGAAGGTGAGCTAGCCCCGCTCAGGCCCGTGTCCTGAGCACAGAAGGGACAGAGGCCTGTGCTGGTGCTGGGTTGGGGCGGAGGTGCGGGAGGCACCAGCAGGCCCTCTGCCCCGCTGCAGGTTTCCCTGAGAAGCTAGAAGGGAACAGGAGTCATCACACCAGGACTGTACACCTGCTCTCCAGGAATGCAGAGGGCCGTGGAACAGGAGAGGGAGGCGTTGTTGTCTGTGGGGCCCCCGGAGCAGCTGTTGAGGGTGTGTTTGGAAGGGTGACAGGTGGGCAGTTTGATGAGCACCCCTGGGCCCCCCACCTTAGCCTGAGGAACTGGCGGCGGTCTGAGCTCCCAGGGTCAGTGAGGAAGGGGCGGGGCGGCTCCAGGGGGAGTGCTGAGGGCACTCTGCGACGGCTGCCATTCCAAATGTCCGGAGTCCCGGCTGTGCCTGCTCACGGTCTACACACTGGTAAAAGCACCACGAGCCTCTGGCCAGTCTTCTGCCGTGGTTCTGTATTCAAAGGAGCCTAATGTCTTTTCCATTGTATTTTGCGTTCATCAAATTTTTATGAAAATTGGAGCATTAATTTCATCTAGCTGAAACTCTGTTTATTCTATTTCAGGTCCCATTCTTGTTATCACTTAGAGAAAGCAAATATTAAGATTCCAGCTCTTCCACCTGGTGATCACGTCATAACAATCACTTCTCTCCATGAATTTGGAAGTTCTAGAAGCAAATTCATACTAAGTGAAAGAAACGTTTGTAAGTATTAGGAAAGAAACTTTACGTTGAAGTAGAACAGTGCTGCTGGTGGTATCACGTTGCTTTCTGCTTGGCAGAAACTTCCTGTTCTGTGAATTTCATTTGTTACATGAGTCCTTTCATTTTCCTAGTAACCTTATTATGGGCAGTCGAGCATCGCCACGTCAGGAAGGAAGCAGACTTGGCTTCTGGTCAATCGAAATAGACACCAGAATTCAAGGTCCGCCCAGCGTGCGCCTAGTGCTCTCCCCGGCCCCCGGAATTTCTCAGGCACTCCTAGCTCTGGAAGGTCACTGACCACCCACTTCCAGAGGAGCGTCCCCTTAGGCAGCCTGTGCTTCTCTTGGGATATGTGGCATGGCTTGTGAGGTGGCTGGTTGCTGTTCCCTGGGGCGGGCGTTTGTCTTCAGCACTCAGTGCCGTGTGCAGCACTGTGCGCGATGCAAGCAAGTGTTAGGAATTTGTTGATGGGACGTCTAGAACAGGGGCAACAAGAAGATTGGGAGAACAGAATAAACCCAGGTTGACAAAGGTAGACATTTTGCTCTGCAGTTAAGACCTTACAGAACTGAGCAGCTCTGACTTTGACTAGCGGAGCAAGCAGGTTTTCAGCTGCTAATGACTGTCACGGGGTGGCATCATAGTGATGTCATGGTAAGATCTCGAAGGACGACTGGCTTTGAAGCCAGGGCAGGAAAATGCGGCTGGTTTGGTGATTTGTCTAATTTGAGGACAGGATGCCTGTGTGGAGTGGTTTGTGTCTGCGAAATATTGTTAGTCCTTAAATAGATTTTCTCTGTGTATGCACAGTATGAACATAACCTGCTAAAGAGAAGACGTGCAATAGATTTTCAAGTTGCTATTTATGTAAATACACATTATTTTTAATGGCTAGGTCGTATTCCGCCAAGTGGAGGTTCCATAAGTACTAAAAGAGATCTATGATTAACATGTTTTTATTTCCAGTGTTTAAATATGACAACTCATGCCTTAATATCTGATGCATTTACATGTTTCTGAATCTGTCTGCTTTACTTAAGCTGAATTCCTAGAATTGAAGTGCTAGATTAAAAACACTCCCTTTTTTAAGACTTTAGATAGCCATTGTGCAAGTATTCTCCAGGGACTTCACAGCTCTTTGTATTGCGTGAACACCTTATCAGTACATCTGCTTCCCCACCTCACTAGGTAGCACTCTCTTATTTTTCCATTCTAATCTGATGGCCCCAAACTGTGTCCTTACTGTTTTTTTTGTGCCTGTGATTATTGGAAGAGCTCCTGTGTCAGCTGTCTTCTTTTCTGAGCTGTCTTTTCACGACCTTCATGAACTGTTCCTCTTGTTTCCCTCATCCATCCACAAGAGCTCTCTCTATGTTGTTCTTAGTAGCTGTGTCATGATTGCTGGAGAGACCTTTCTGAGTTTATAATTTTTAAAAATGTGATATTTTTCATACCACCAGTTTGCATTTTTATATAGCAGAATTCTCCATTTTTATTTATGAGTTTTTGATTTTGCTCTCATGTTTGATTTAAATCTTTCAGCTATCTGGAATTATTTTGTAATAAAGTATGAGGATCTAACTTAATTTTATTGCAAATTTAAAAAATTTCCTGGAGTCTGTAAGAGAGCCAGTTTATGTTGTCTGATTACTTTAGTAGGTAACAAAAATTCTTGCCTGGGAAGCCATTTGAAAATTACAGTGCTAGATAAAAAGAATTAGAAAGGCAAATCAAGACAGACTCTGAGTCACTGCTATTTCATAGGTCATTGTTTCTTCACATAGCTTGTAACTCATTGGTAGCATTTCAAACAGTGATGATGGGCCTGATCATGACTGGAGTAACAGTAGTGAGATGAGAGGAATATAAGAAACGGAGAGGTGGGTGCAAGTCTTAGTCTGTTTAGGCTGCTGTGACAGAATCCCTCAGATCAGATGATGTGAGAACAGCAGACGTTGATTTCTCCCAGTTGTGGGGCTGGGAAGCCTCGGTGTCTGGTGAGGCCTGTGTGTGTGTGCTCCCTGCAGACAGAGGCACAGTCAGGCCTCATCTGCAGGATGCACTCAGGACCTTCATACCGTGGCCTTGGAGATTGTCAGCATAGGAATTCAGTAGGACACACTGAGAGATAGCAGTGCATCAGCAGATCTTTGAGCACCTACAGTATGCAAGGGAAACACTGGCATGCTGTGGTGCCATAGCTGTGCATTAAAAAGCCTGGGCTCATTGACAGCCTGCTACTAAATGAAAGTAGAAAAAACTGTTTTCATCAGATAGGAAGATGGCTTCAAAAGTGTACATATCAAGCAAAGATTCTATAGGCATACACAATGTAAATGTACCAAGGGGGAAAGTATTAAAAAAACCTTGGGCCGGCGCCGCAGCTCACTAGGCTAATTCTCCATGTGCGGCGCTGGCACCCCGGGTTCTAGTCCCGGTTGGGGTGCCAAATTCTGTCCTGGTTGCTCCTCTTCCAGTCCAGTTCTCTGCTGTGTCCCGGGAGGGCAGTGGAGGATGGCCCAAGTGCTTGGGCCCTGCACCCACATGGGAGACCAGGAGGAAGCACCTGGCTCCTGGCTTCGGATCGGTGCAGCACGCCTGCTGTAGTGGCCATTTGGAGGGTGAACCAACGGAAAAGGAAGACCTTTCTCTCTGTCTCTCTCTCTCACTGTCTAATTCTGTCAAAAAAAATTAATTAATTAAAAACCTTTCTAAGGCTTTTAATATCCAATTTTTTAAAAAGATTTATTTGTTTATTTACTTAAGAGATAGTTACAGAGAAAGGGAAAGAGAGAGAAAGGTCTTCCATCTGCTGGTTCACTACTCAGATGACTACAATGGAGCTGAGCTGATGCAAACCAGGAGCCAGGAGCTTCTTCTGGCTCTCCAAGGCAGGTACAGGGTCCCAAACACTTGGTCCATCTTCCACTGCTTTCCCAGGCCATCAGGAGAGAGCTGGATTGGAAGTGGAGCAGTTGAGATTTGAACTGGCACCCATAAGAGATGCCGGCACCACAGGTGGTGCCTTCTAATATCCAAGTTTCTTAAACTAACCTGAAAATTTGGATCACTGTGAAGCAGAATAAATAACATGGATCCTATTTAAAAAAAAGAAAAACAAAAAAAACTGGAAGCCTCCTGTCTCCTGATGTTCTAAGGAAGACAGACCATGTAAATTATGGGTGAAGCCTTACCAGCTCAGAAAAATAAACAGGCAAGAGTCTAATTGAATCCTTTTCCTATCTGCAGAGAGAGCTCTGCATTTCTAGAAAGCAAGTTAACATCATCCTCAGATGCCTGTTTCAGTTTAAAACAAACGCAGACAACAGTTCAGGAGCTATGTAGAAAAGGAAGCCAACTGTGTATTTTTTAATCAGTTGTAATTATGGCCGTTAATATCTGTAGCTTGAAATGTTGGACGTGACTTGTATTTTGAAGGGTAGCCCACTGCTGTTTAGACAACCTGTGAATCGCATGGGCCTTCCAGGAGGGCGGGCAGCCTTGTCACAGATGAGGATCACCTCTGTCAGATCCCCCGGCATTTGGTGGTTTCTAAGTTGCGCATCGTGACGTCTTCAGTTGTTGGGGAGAAGCAGCACATTCTTGGAAGCCCTTTGCTCCTCTCTGGTCACTCTGGCACTCTGACCTTTTATTCTCTTGGCCCTGAGTCAACTTCTCACTTCTCATTTGTCTGCATTTTTTCCTTTCTCCATGAGCTTCCTACTTAGGACTCCTGTAGAGTGTCCTCTGCTGTCGTACACAGCTATCTGAGTGTCGTGTGGTTCAGACGTGAAGGCCACATGCTCTAGGTCCTGTGAGCCCTAAACATTTCCTGGAGAGCCAGTGTACGGAGAAGGTTGGGCTGCTCCTTGGGACGCCTGCCTCTCAATCAGAGTGCCTGGGATAGCACTCCGCTCTGATTCAGCTTCCTACTAATCAAAAAGTGACTGTGAAGCTGTAGAGGATCGCCCAAGTGCTTGGCTTCCTCCCGCTCATGTGGAAGACTTGGGTGGAGAGCCAGGCCCAGCCCCAGCTATCGCAGGCGTTTGGGGAGTAAAGCAGCAGGTGGAAGATTGACTTCTCCTCTCCCTCCCTCCCTGACACCCCTTCCCCTCTCCTCAAATGGATAACTCTTTAAAAACCCAATATGGAGTACTGTGTCCAGCAAATTTAATTAAAACTATTTTAAGAGCTTATTTTTAAGTCCTAAGACTAATTATGATGGTTTGTGATCCAGCCCACTCACCTGCCCTACCACAAAGACACTGCAGCTTCGTGCTTACTGTGACTTTTAAAAAAGCGATCCTTAGGCTTCCTGGGGAACAACTCACATAGAAATGGGAATTTTGGGGTCTGGTGCTGTGGCACAGTGGGAAAAGCTGCAACTGCAGTACTGGCATCCCATGTGAGCACTGGTTCGAGTCCCGGCTGCTCCACTTCTGATCCAGCTCTCTAGTGTGGCCTGGGAAAGCAGTCTTGAAAGATGGCTCAGATGCTTGGACTCTTGACTCTGGAGAAAAAGCTCCTGTCTCCTGGTTTCTCCGGCCGTTGCAGCCGTTTGGGGAGTGAACCAGCAGATGGAAGAACTCTCTGCCTCTGCCTCTCTAACTCTGCCTTTCAAAAAATACATAAATCTTTTAAAAAAGATGACGAAATGGGACTTCTATCGCACCTTCACCTTCACGTCATTTGAGACGTACTAGTGTCTGCACGCCCCTCTGCCCCTTGTCCTTGAAAGCCTTCATTTTGCAGAAAGGAACCTTGCTTGTTTTCCACTGATCCTAAATTATCAGCCATCTGCCCATCGCTGCAGGTAGGGAGGCCTGCAGATTCTCAAGGACAACTTGGTGTTTGTGCTGCGTTTTCTCGTGTAGCCATCCCTCCCTGTGAGCCGCCCAGGTCCATGAGCACGCTTGGTTCCCGCTGTTTATCCTGCAGCCCCGCAGCCCACGGCCCTCTTTGCTCTGTCTTCCTCTTCGCGGAGCCCGGATGACGGCTCCTTGCTTTCATCTCAGTGACCGCAGATTTTCCCTGGTTTCTGCTGCTGCTGCTTCCCTTCCCTCTCTGCACTCTGGCCAGTGGTCCCCGGAGGTGTAATTTTCTGTGGGCGGCCCCGGGGATGAGCGCTGGCCGTGCTCTGTCTGCCTTCCTGGTCCTTTCTTGAGCTGCGCTCCGCGAGTCCCTCCTGATGGTGGTCTGTGGCCCTGCTGTGGCCCTGCTGTCCCACGTCCCCCTGCTGTGTACAGAGCCCCGACGTTCCGTCAGGCGCAGCCAGTCCCTGTGGCTCTGCACAGTGGTTCCTGTTCCTTTTGCCTTTCTCATTGCTTTCTAGTGGAACCTTGAGAAAATAGCGTCTGATCCCTTTGTTCTTAGAGCCAGTCCTTCGTTGCTTTGATAGGACCGTTCCTTGAACTGTCCGGAAGAGTTTTGTCCTTTCTTTTCCACGCGTGGCATCCTAACCCCTACCTTTATTGCTGTAGCCAGGATTTCTGCAGGGCTCTCCTGCTGATCTCCTTCTCGGAGTCTCGGTCCCCTGCATGCTGCGTTGCTGCCTGCTGCTCAGTGAACCTTCGCACAGTAGTGCTTACACCCTGCCACCGCAACAGTGTCCTAGTGACTGTGACAGTGCTGCTGCCACTGAGTGAGACCCAGAACCAGAACCAGCCCAGGGCGTTCCTCCCGCGGCTGCGTCTCCCTGTCGGGTGGGGGCTCTGATGCTGGGAGATACCTGAGAAGGCTGCAGAGAAAATAGAAAGCTTGGCCTTCGCACCTTGCCCCAGTCCGTCGTCCTCTGAGGCCTGACCTACAGCTACACAGAAGGAGCCCTGTGTTTCTCTCTGGTGCGGCCCAAGGGCTCCAGACCTGACAGCAGTGGCGCAGCGAGGACCTCGGGGCTTGGTCGTGGGAAATGTCTTCGTGCAGAATCCTCTTCTCAGGTCTGCCTGATCAATCCCTGGGAGCTGCCCGACACAGATGTTCGCTTTCTGCTTGTTTTGAGAATTTGCTTTTAATTCGAGATGATTTGTTTTTTATCCAGAAGACATAGTTTAGTTAATAAATCTGAAAAATGACCAATTTAACTGAATTTTCTCTTTCATTTTCTTTTTTAAAAGCCTTAATTCCAGAGACTCCAGAGATCTTAAATTTGTCTGCTGATTTCTCAACCTCCACGCTGTCGATAAAGTGGAACGACAAGGGCTCTGCTATTCCCCACCACTCAAATGTCATCTGGGAAATAAAAGTTCTACGCAAAAAGAGTATGGAACTCGTAAAATTAGTAAGTTGTGAAACAGAAACCAGCTTTTTTTTTTTTTTCCTGTGACATTAAAAAAAACAATTTTTTGAAACTTTTAAAGGTTGTATCAGTGAACTTTTGAATTATTCGAAAAGTAATCAGGTATCTTTCAGAGTTCATTAAAATCTTCATGTTCTGCTTCAAAAATTACTTGTGAATTACGTATTAAAATAATGCCTAACCATTAGCAGAGGTTTAGAAATTAAGGGAAGGGGCTGGCGCTGTGGCGTAGCAGGTAAAGCTGCGGCCTGCAGTGCTAGCATCCCATATGGGCACTGGTTCGAGTCCTGGCTGCTCCACTTCGATCCAGCTCTCTGCTATGGCCTGGGAAAGCAGTAGAGGATGGCCCAAGTGCTTGGGCCCCTGCACCCAGGTGGGAGACCTGGAAGAAGCTCCTGGCTTCAGGTTGGCAGAGCTCTGGCTGTTGAGGCCAACTAGGAAGTGAACCAGTGGATGGAAGATTGATCAATCAATCAATCAATCAATCTCTCTCTTTCTCTCTGCCTCTCCTCCTCTCTCTGTAACTCTGACTTTCAAATAAATAAATAAATAGAAAGAAAGAAATTAAGGGAAGTGTGACTCCACCACTTCAGCACCACAGTGTTGTCTCCTGGCCTCTGAACACCATTACTTACTTGAGAGACAGAGAACTCCCATGCTCTGGGTTCCTCCTCTCGTGACCAGGACACCCAGGGCCGGGGGTGGCCCGAGCTCAGTCCCCGTCTCCCATGACCGTGGCAGGGACCTGAGTACTGGAACCTGCATGAGCAGGAAGCCAGGACTTGAACCCGCCTTGTGCTTTTTACATAAATGAAATGAAAGTACATTTAATTGGATCTATGTCCTTTGTCTAATATGATAAAACATATTTTACCAAAGGATTTTTGAGAGTTTAAATATGAATCTGCAAGCTTAAATTTATCAGAACGTGAAATGATGTTCTTATGTTGAGTATATGCTTTTTTCCTCTCTGTTTTAAAAAGCCTGTTTGTGGTTGGTTTCCTTATGAGCTACATTCAGTGTGCTCTTAAATCTAAGGGGTGAGGAAGAACACTAATGAAAGCTTGACAGCTGATCCATAGTGATTTATTTCCCCTTTTAGCTTTTTATTTGTCCTCCCTAATAGATTTATAGTGGGTGTAGTTGTAGACTGAAGAATTGGAAGACCATCTCATGATTTTACAATTTATTTTCCTAATTATATACTCAGATAAGATAGTAATGATAATACATAGGATTATTTTCTATTCATAGCTATTGTTATTTTCCCTCTTTAACAACCTATATGTATATAGGGAGCATAATCATAGTTAGCCTGTACCTGGTGCTTGTCTGCCTTGCCTGACATTGTTCTAGAAGCTCTGCAAGTGTTAATTCTCATTCTCACACGGTTCTGCGAGGGGGATCTGTAGTTCTTACCCGTGTGCAGGTGAAGGTTCAGTGCTGGGGCAGGACTGGAGCCTGTGCCCCTAACCCCCGCCTTGATACTTTGTAACGGGTACTTTTCCCTCTGGATGCCTCCTTTGCCTTTTCACCTGCCCCAGTTGAACACACACTGCAAGGGCCAGGGCAAATCCTACAGCTCAGCTGAGAGCCCATCCTCACTGCTTCAGTGTGAAGTGCTCTTCTCTGAATCTGATGGTGAATCTGTCCGCCAGCCAGCAGCTCGCGCTGATGTGGCTGTGCCATGACTGTCCTAAACCTTCAAGTCATTTAGAATTTTGCTGCTTTACTTCTCACTATTGAATATAAACACTGGCCACTACTTCCCCCACTTTTTAATGTAATATTGTACGTTTCCTGTTTTTCTAGCCCATTCCTCTGCTTTATTAATTCAGTCCTAAATTCTCTCCATGTTATGAGACTCTCCATGATTTTCAAATACACTAGATATTTTGTCAGTTTATCCTTTTAAGTCTCTGAGGGCCTTCTGCCTGGTTTCCCAGCCTTTTTCACTGAGGGCTCACAACCCTGGCTTACGTGTGTAGCCCCGAGTGTGGTTAACAGCAGAGACTGCCTGTGGGCGGGGGTCTCCCAGGGCTCCAGCAGGCTCAGCCCCTACCAGGCAGCCCGAGGCTTGGGGAATTAATACCTAGATAGATCCATAACTTGTTCAGGACAACCCGGTGTCTTTGAGCACAGGCTTTGGGAAGCTGTGGTCAGCCTTACACGTTTTTTCTTGTGATGGAGCCTCTTTTTTCTCAGTCTCCTTTCTTCCTCGTATTTCCTCATTGTGGTGAGAATATGGAGGATCTTCAAAAAAGTTTATGGAAAATGGCCATTATGAGAAAATGCTGCGTGGATTTCAGAATTTTTGTTGCGCCATTTTCCATGACCTTTTTTTTTAAGTTTTTTTTTATTTGAGGTAGAGTTACAGACAGTGAGAGGGAGAGACAGAGAAAGGTCTTCCTTCCATTGGTTCACTTCCCAAATGGCTGCAATGGCCGGAGCTATGCCGATCCAAAGCCAGGAGCCAGGAGCTTCTTCCGGGTCTCCCATGCGGGTGCAGGGGCCCAAGGACTTGGGACATCTTCTGCTATCCCAGGCCACAGCAGAGAGATGGATTGGAAGAGGAGCAGCCGGGACTCGAACCAGTGCCCATATGGGATGCCGGTGCCGCAGTGCACCATGGTGCCAGCCCCTCCGTGAACTTTTAAAAGTACCTCCATGTGTTCTGTAGGTTGAATATCCCTTACCCAGAAGAGCTTGAGCCTAGAAGTATCTGAGCTTTGGAGTTTCTCAGGTTTGAGAACGTTTGTGTAGCCTCTTCTGGTGGAGCCTCCCTCGTCAGAAGGCACATGGTACTCTGAACTCTGTGATTTCTGGAGCGTCATGTTGGTGCACAATACATTTCGGATTTCTGAGTATTCGGGATTTTTGGATCACAGATACTCAAACTGAACTTGTTATTTGCTACTAGAGTTTCTACTAGCCATGGTATCGAGCTTGCAGGTGTAATTTTTTAAGTTTAATCATTAAAAATGTAAAAGCCTGTCCATGAACTAATACTGAGAAAACGCAGAACTGTTGGACTTGTCGTGCGTTGCTGGTGGGAGCACGAAGTGCTCAGGTGAACATGCGGAGACGCAGCGTTTCTGGAGAGAACTGGGGTCTGCACTCAGGCATGATGACTAGTGTAGGCATAGAAGACAGGGTGGACATCCTGCTGGAGATGTTGGTGACATTGTCCCTGTGTTTCTTCCCATGTATCTGGGTTCACCTGTTGGACCCTCTGTATGTAGTCTATGAACATAGCTGTCAGCTCAGGAACTTCTCTTGTTTCATTTATTTGCTTTCCCTCCACTGTCTCCTGTTTTCCTAGGACCTCGGTTCTTCCAGAGTGCGCCTTACACCGGCTCTCCTGTTTTCTGTCTACTTTTTTGTGCCATTCTCTGAGAATTTTCCCCTAAACTTTGTCTTCTGGTTCAGCTGTTGAGTTTCTATCAGTTTAGTGTGTATTTACAATAGATACCTTTTTTTTTAAGGATCTCTGTTCTCTCTCTCTTTTTAATGTACCCTGTTCTTTATTTATGAATGTAATATATTTTCTTATATCTAAAGATATCAATAATGTAATTTTTTCTTTCTGTAGATCCTGTGTAAGGTGCCCCCCTCCATGTTTTGACTTTTTACTTTAATATTAAAATTTTTCTGAACTCTGGTTACTTTTAGTTTAACTGAGGGGTTCTTGAAAAACAAAGAACTGATTGGAACTGTGGTTCAGCTGGATGGGACATGCTGCCTTGGGGCTTCCTTCCTGGGTGGTTAGGAAGGGCTGTCTAGTTGGGGAACTGCTGATTCTGCTGTAGGTGCTGTATCTTTGCTGTGGGCCAGCCCCAGACAGGTTTGCCTGGTGAGTACGGGCCTGGCACCCTGGATGCTGAGGCTGACGGGCGGGGCAGGAATGCCTCCACCTTCAGATTATCTAGGCCAGCAGGCCCCTGTGTTTGGAGGGGAGGTCCCCCATCTCTGTTCCCTCTGAGAGCCTTCAGTCCACGGGGATTCGGCCCCAGTTCCCCAGAGCGTAAATCTCCGTTCTTCTGCCAGGGTAAGCGTGGTTTCACAGAAAGGCAGACCCGTAGCTTACTCTGCTGGGGACTGGATCGTCTACTGTGTCTTAGTGTAAAGGAAGGCAGAACATACCAGTATTTGGATCTATGGTTTTTTGTTTGTGTTCATTCCTAGGCAACCCATAGCACAACGCTTAGTGGTAGAGACACATTTCATCACTGGAACTGGACCTCAGACATGCCCTTGGAGTGCGTCTCTCACTACGTGAGGCTCAGAAGCTACATTGATGATCCTCATTTCTCTGGTCACAAAGAGTGGAGTGACTGGAGCCCACTCAAGAACATCTCTGGTAAGCTTGTACCAGATTGGGTTCGTCTTGCTTAAGAACATGGTTTGGTTTAATCTGCGTTCTGAAATGTAGTTGGCTACCTGAAGGTCACTTGGGACACTCCCAAGCCCACTCTGCAGGAGGTTTTGGTTTCAGAAGGTGAGATAGGCTTCAAGAATCTGAGCGTTTGAAGAACTTTCTGAGCAACTGGGTAAATACCCAGGTGGGAAAATCACAGGTTTTTTTTTTTTTTTAATGATTACAAGGGTTAGCATTGGGCCTAGCAGCTTAGCCAATCTGAAAGCCCACATCTGACGTTGCATGCCTGCCTGGGGTGGAGTTCTGGCTCTGCCCCTGCTGCAGATCTTGGGAGGCAGTGGTGATGGTTGAAGTAATTGGATTCCTGCCACCATGTTGGAGGCCCAGGTTGAGTTCCTGGCCATGGCATTGGTGGGCATTCAGGGGATGAACCAGTAGATAGAAGATCTCTCCGTCTGCCTGCCTTGCTCTGTTGCCTTTCAAAAAATATAAATAAAACAACCAGTTTCTGGCTGATTTGCAATTACACAAGAAAACGTAAATAAAGTGCATATGCAGGAAGAGTGTTGGCAGTGCAGGGGGGCGGGGGAGGGAAGGCCAGGGAAGCCATTGAAGTCCTGAAGAGGCTGGACACCGTCGTAGGCAGACCGCTGTAGGGACAGTGCCAAGAAGCAGATCGGAGGAAGGAGAGACCGGAAACAGGTGGATAAACCAGAAGAATGCACTGCCATTGGACGAAAGCTAATGCAGACGTTTATAAACTAGGACACTTGGGTTTAGAAACCGAAACCGAGACGAGATGTGCAGACCGCGCAGAGAGCTGGAGTTACCAGCTGGCTGTGCTTGCTGAAGCAGGAGTAGAGCCAAGGAGTTTGGGAGGCTGGTGGCAGCATTCACCAAGTCTGAAAGTGCATGAACAACTTAGGCAGAAAGAAGAATATGTTTATTGTGATGAGCTTGAGGCATGTAAGGACACCTCCAGGCAGCGAGGCTCAGAGGCAGGTGACCGTGGAAGACAGCGTCCAGGTGAGGAACTGTTGCTGTGGGTGTAGATTTGTGGGTCTTCCATGTGTACATGTATGACATGGCATTTGTAATCTTAAAGGTTGTAACATATGGAGAAAGGAATGGGGACCCAAGGCATAGCCCTTAGAAGTGTGTGTGTTTAAGGATAGAGTGCAAGGGAGAGAGATGCATAGCCAGAGGCTTAAAAGTAGCCCAGGAAGCTACCCAGAAGAGGAGGAAATTTAGGGGAAGATTGCCGAGAAGTGGCCATTGCCTTGAGCTGTCTCAGTGGAGTGTAGGAAAAAGCCAAATTGCAGGACAGAGCAAGTGGGTAGATAGGAGAACAGAAGTGATGAAAAAGATGGGCTGTTTACAGGGGGTGAGGAAGGTGTGGCTTTTTTAGGATGTGGAGTACTTGACCATATATTTACACCAATGGAAAGGAAGAAATCTGCCCTAATACATAAAATAATTAGAAGGAATTGAATTATTTAATGGGTGATTTTTTATGGTGTGGACTTTTCACCTATCTAAATAAGCTCATGAGTTTTTCACATGTGAATATAAATACATGAATTTGAACCTTGAGACTTGGTAGGCTTTAACCTATGACCTGGGATGTTGACCCATGATCCACTTCTCCCTCACCATCACCCCTTCAGAAGAAGGTAGAACGACACACTCTTCTGTTTTTATGTGTAAGTTACCCCTTGGGAACCTGGGGACATACTTACCTCTGGGCAGCCATGGTTAGGACACGTGTAACAGTGTGTGTCACATACTGGGCTCTTTTAAAAGAGGTTTTTTTTTTTTTTTTTTTTTTCCATAAGAAAGCCTATGGAGACAGCTTTACATTAAAGACTCTAAAATATTTATAATTCCTTTTGTTCTTTCCAGAGATTGCTGATTCTCCTACTAAGGTTTTCCCTCAAGACAGAGTGGTACTTGTAGGCTCAGATATAACATTTTGTTGTGTAAGTAAAGAAAAAGTGTTATCAGCACAGATTGGCCAAACAGTTTGTCCCCTGATCCATCTTGATGGGGAAAATGTCGCTATCAAGATCCAGAATATTTCTGCGTCTGCAAACAGCGGGACAAATGTGGTTTTCACAACAGAAGATAATATATTTGGAACAGTTATTTTTGCAGGATGTAAGTATATAATTTTAAAGAGAGCGTTCCTATTAACCTGTTTTAAGTCCTCCATGAAAACCTTAAATTCTTTTCTTAGGAGAGAGGAGGTTAATTCTGCATTTCCCTTATTTCTTTGCTCTTTATAATGATCTACAGAGGCACTAACACTTCATGTTTTAAAAGGAGTTCTAAGCTTGTTTCTACATAACTCTATCTGTGTGACTTATATGAGTTTTGTAATAAGATTTTGAAACACCAGCTGCTAATGTTTAAATTCTTAGTTAACAGCTTTTTTGAGTTAAGGGTAGTTAGTATACAATATTTCTTAATTCAGCATTGTTTGGAGTTCTTTCATGTAAATTAATTTCCCACCTCAAGGAAGTATATCGTTTTAACTAAATTAAAGAAATTGTAATGATTTTACACAAAGTCTTGGAACAGCAGTGTATCTTCTACACCTTTTAAATAAGAATAGTCCATCTGTCAAATTGCTGTTGGAAGTTTCCAACCGAGCTGTAAATCACTTTTTAATCGCTCATTTCTGATGTGGTATGAACTCTGATAAAACATACTATAGAAACAGTGACAGTTCTTGCATTGTTCAAAAGTAAAATGCACAGCAAATTATTTTTTGCTTTAAGGAAGCTGTGCCAATGTTATTAACATTCAGAACACATTATGTTTTGAAGGGAAATATAATCTTAACCTCATTATTTCTGTTTCCTATTAGATCCACCTGATGTTCCTCAAAAATTGAATTGTGAGACACATGACTTAAGGGAGATCATATGTAGTTGGAATCCAGGAAGACCAACCTCATTGGTGGGCCCACGCAATACAAGTTACACCTTATTGGAAAGGTATGGTAGCCAGGAGGATATGTCAAGTGACAAGGAGTACTTTGTCAAAAGACATGGAGAAGTAGTCTGTTTCATTTCTATTATGAGACAGATATAAAATACCCACACATGCTAGGTAAAATTGCATCCACTGCAGACACTGTGTGGACATGGGACACTGTGTGCTTTCTCTTTCCAGAAGCCCAGGCAACCCCTCAAATGTGAACAGAGACTTTCTGGGTGGTTGACTTAGGACTGATGGCTTTCTGTTTTCTGTATCATATGTGTTTTTTTCTCTGAGTATGTAATATGTCTGTAATTAAAAATACAAGCTTTTAGTTATTAGAACTATGCCCATTCACTTTTCCCTGCTATATGTTTATCTCTTGCCATTTTGAAATTGTTTCTCTTTTAATTCAGTTTTTCAGGAAAATATGTTAGATTTAAAAGAGTTGAGGCTTCTACAAATGAAAGCTATCAGTTATTCTTTCAAATGCTTCCAAGTCAAGAAGTATATAACTTTACACTGATTGCCCACAATCCTCTGGGGTGGGCAGAAACGACACTTTCAGTTAACATAACTGAAAGAGGTAAGTCGCTACATAAACCATTTTCTTAAAAATAACTTCATAAATGGTAAAATGCCTTGAGATTAATGCAGAGTGCTTTCAGGAAGTGCTGTTTTCTTTATAGTTAATGTTGTGAATTTTATTTTAAATGCTTTAAAATGTGTAGTTTCAAGTTTTAACATTTGAATTAGTCATTTACATGTAAGTGGCTTTATCTAACAGTTGTTGACTTCTGAAAATTTTGTCCCAGTCTTACGTGTTTTGAAGTACTTAGAGACTTACTGGTAGGTGCAAAAATGACAACTTAGAGCCTTCTGAACCTTGACCCTGGTTTTCCATGGTGACATTTTATGTAACATGATTTAAAGTCAAAACTGGGAAAACCAGGAGGTTCAAACTGGTGCTGTGTTGCTAGCTGGACCGCTGAAGACTTGTGCCCTTGCTCGGTTCTCACGTGTGCGTGCTCGCGCGTGTGTGGGTAGTGCTAGGCTGTGCATTGCACACATAGATTCAGTGACCATCTTCACAGTCCAGACGCAGACCTGCCCTGTCACCACAGAGGAGCTCCCTCACCTTGTCCTTCTGTCTGTGGCCTTGCAAGTGTACACACGCATCCCTGTCCTTTGGCTGCAAGTAGCCTTCTCCTCATCTCTGTTGCTTTGTCATTTTGAGCCTGCTGTATGAATGAAATGGGATAATAGGTAACAATTGGGAGTTGGTGTTTTCAAGAATAAGGTTCCTGAGAACCATTCAAGTTACTGCATGAACAGTTTGTTAATTACCGATTATTTCTGATTTTTTTAACCAACCAGCGTGTTAGTATCTCTAAACAGTGAAACATGGCTGATCTTTGTGACATTCATATGCAGATGCATAGAAGTGGGCATCGGCTCCACACCCAACTCTGCAACATGAAGAGCAGCGGCAGAGGCCACAGGGCTGGGGACTGTTTTTCCTGCCAAGGCCATTTGGATATTTGTAACGCATTTGCGAGATATACAAAGTGGTCACCTTGAAGTGAGCCGGCTGTAGATGCACTGAACTCTGAGCCCCTCCTGTGGTTGTCTTGGCAGGGTCAGAGCAAATGGTTCTGCAGGCCTGGTATGGCCTGCATGCGGATTGGTGGTTCCCCACTCGCCTTTTTTTTTTTTTTTAGATTTACTTATTTATTTGAAGGAGCTACAGAGAGAGAGAGAGAGAGAGAGAGAGAGAGAGAGAGAGAGATTCCATTTGCTGGCTCACTCCCCAGATGACCACAATGGCAGGGCTGGGCCAGGCGGAAGCCAGGAGCTTTATCTGAGTCTCCTGTGTGGGTGCCAGGGGCCCAAGCAGCTGGACCATCTTTTGTTGCTTTTTCCCAGGCCATTAGCAGGGAGCTGGATTGGAAGTTGAGCAGCGGGACTCCACCTGGCAGCCTTATGGAGTGCTAGTGTTGCAGGTGGTGGCGTTACCCTCTGTGCCACAGTGCCGGCCGGTCTGCACCTGCCTTTCCAACGTATCGTGCACATTGCTTTGCTGCATCTTCGCTCTCGCCAGGATCCTGATCTGCAGTGCTTTAGAACATCCATGCTGCTAGTTTCAGTTTTTCTTCCTTGAAATCTGGTCTTCAGTTCCAGTGTCACTGTCCAGACTCCCCCTACTGTGCTTGCTTTTAAATTCCTGTCGTAATCCCACGCATCTAAGAGTTAGCATATGCGGCCTTGTTCGTTTTCTTTCTTTTCCGTTTGTCATTGCCTGAGTACAGCAGAAGTTCCTTAAAGTTAGAGACTGTGCCCTGCTGCCCTCTGGTATCCCTACCACCTGATGAGCAGCTGGAGCATGACTTGTTCCCAGGAACTGCCGGCACGAGGCCAGCAGCCAGCTTGTGGAGTCTGTAAAGATCGGGTAGGGTATTAGTGGTCAGCACTCCTGTTTTCTCCTGGTTTTTGTTTTCTTTCGTTCTAGTTTCTCATAGCAGAAGACAGCTTTTTGCCTTCAAATAACTATTTAAAGTGATTTATCTTTAATTTTTTTTCTTTTGCAGTTTATCCCCATACTCCTACTTCGTTCAAAGTGAAGGATGTTAACTCCACAGCTGTTACACTTTCGTGGCGTTTGCCAGGCAACTTTGCAAAGATTAGTCTGTTATGTCAAATCAGAATTAATAAACCGAATTCAGTACAAGAATTGGTGAGTGTGGTTCTTGGTAAATTTCCTTTGTGCTTATCTTAGATAAGACACTTGATTTTCAAAAAACATCAGTTGTTAAGTACAGGCTCTCCGTTTATTATTGAGATGTACTAAGAACCGAGAGAGGAAGATTAGGTATCAGTGTGGTCGCACCATTTTGTCTGAAGATTATAAAGGGTACGTGTGACTTTGTGCACAAGGTTTCTCAGGTCTGGTATAGCACCTGGCATGTAGCTGCTGTTCGATAAATTTGTGAATGAAAAAGCAGGTTTTGCTGTAACCTTCAGCATCAGTTAATGCACTCATTGGCACCAGAAAGTAGAAGTGATCTTTAAAACTGCAAAGTGCAGCAGTAGGAGCAGTTATAATTGGTAATTAGAAGTCAAAACATGACTTTTTAATGCTTTTTAAATATTTAGGTTGACTTATACCAGACCATCTTGTAATTTGTGGAAAGTCAAAAGTAAATTACATTGTTCTTAAATATTCATTTGGAAATTTACTGATTTCTAGCAAGTCAGTAAAAGTCAGAACTGTAAAACGTAACCTGAAAAGCTGCTTGAAATAAGTGGCTAGGAGCTCAGAGACTTCCCTGAGACATGCAGATCTGCCATTTTGTTTAGGATTGCTTCATTTTAATTTTATTTGCTTAGCTTAAGTAACTGTTGACCGTTACTACATATTTCGCACCATTGCTACAAGTTCTGAGCACACATTAACAGAGACCTAGAAATGAGTGCCTTCCTCTGAGAAGATTCTGATTAATCCTTGGGGTCTTTTCAGGTGGCTAAACTGTATTAAAGGTTTATTGCATCACTGTTAAAAGTTGATTGATTATCACAGTTATGTCATTGACCATTATTAATTAGACCCTAAATTGGGATTAAAAAGACATGCCAGTTTTTTTTATTGCTATTTCCAAATTGGATTTCACTGCTTGATTGGGCAGTTATATAAGAGTTCAAATACTACAGTGGATAAACTGGCTTTGGTGTTATATTTGCAAACTCAAAAGGACATCCAGTTGATGTACATTACAAATGTAGGAGACTTTCTTATCAAGAAAATGTGTGCTGGTACATGTGTAACTATTCATATACACATGGCATGTACACAGTGGGTATACATGTTTGTTTTCTAATAGCGGAATGTCACCATCAAAGGAGTAGAAAGTTCAAGTTACCTCGTTCTTGTGGACAAGTTAAATCCATACACAATATACACTTTTTGGATTCGTTGTTCTACTGAAACCTTCTGGAAATGGAGCAAATGGAGCAGTGAGAAGCAGCATTTAACCACCGAAGCCAGTAAGTTACGAGAGGACTCATGGCCAATTATACTTTGTATCTGAAGTTTTACAACTTTTCTTTAAAGAAAATGTTACGACGATGCTCAAATTTTGCAATACCTGCTAATAAAACATCAGACATTTTAAATTAGAGTTTTTAAAGCTTTGTGATAGTAGGAAAAAATGTTTGACACAAACTCTGGGAGAGGACTTTAGAACCTATCTGTGATGTGATCGTGACTGTAGTACAAAGGTGCATATGCATAGGAAATCAGACTTGAAACCAGGGTAAGATTATAGGGTGATTTTCTCCCACTCTTTCTTTCCTGGGATTTTTTTTTTTTTTTTTTTTTTTTTTTTTTTGACAGAGTAGACAGAGAGGCAGAGAGAAAGGTCTTCCTTTGCCGTTGGTTCACCCTCCAATGGCCGCCAGGGCCAGCGTACCGCGCTGATCCGATGGCAGGAGCAAGGTACTTATCCTGGTCTCCCATGGGGTGCAGGGCCCAAGCACTTGGGCCATCCTCCACCGCACTCCCTGGCCACAGCAGAGAGCTGGCCTGGAAGAGGGGCAACAGGGACAGAATCCAGCACCCCAACCGGGACTAGAACCCGGTGTGCCGGCGCCACAAGGCGGGGGATTAGCCTAGTGAGTCACAGCGCCAGCCCTTTCCTGGGATTTTAATAATGCCTCTAACTTAGATTGCCTTTCTCTTGAGAAAATCATTAATGGAAAAAACTTGTTACAATTTTTATTTGCAGTCTAGATCTGAGAAATGATGCATTGGAAGTCTTGAGTGTAGTATACAAAACTGTGGTATGGGCCGGCACCGTGGCTCACTTGGCTAATCCTCTGCCTGTGGCGCTGGCAAACCAGGTTCTAGTCCCGGTCGGGGTGCCGGATTCTGTCCCAGTTGATCCTCTTCCAGTCTAGCTCTCTACTGTGGCCTGGGAGTGCAGTGGAGGATGGCCAGAGTGCTTGGGCCCTGCACCCGCATGGGAGACCAGGAGGAAGCACCCGGCTCCTGGCTTCAGATTCCCACAGCGCTGGCTGTGGCGGCCATTAGGGGAGTGAACCAACGGAAGGAAGACCTCTCTCTCTGTCTCTCTCTCACTGTCTATAACTCTCTCTCTCTCTCTCTCACTGTCTAACTCAGCCTGGCAAAACAAAAACCTGTGGTATGAACTCAGACAACTGGTGTCCTGAGTATGACAATTCCAAAAACAGAATAGTATAATTTTCAGGAATCATTGGAGCAAAAGCCCTACTTGTACTACATAATGTAGGAAGTATAAAGCTTCTCTTCCCACAATTAACAAACAGTAAAACAGAAAAATGATAAATGTTAGTCCAGATTTTTGTTTTTCTGCACGAAGAATAGAGATGAGGCACTGTGTGGTATACGTACGAATTATTTGTAGTATCAGAAATGGAACTTCTGCACGAGTCCAAAGAGGGAATGTACTACCAGTTTTCTATAGTCACGTGACAAATTATCCTAAAATGCAGTGGCTTATAAGAGCAGACGTCCATGACCTCAGAGCCTGTCCAGGTCAGCTGGCTGGCCCTGGCTGGGGCTCTCTGGAGGCTGCAGTCAGGGATCTGCATGGGGTCTGGAGGAGCCTGTCTCAGAGGGCCCGCCGTCTAGGCTCTCAGCAGGAGCCAGGCAGTGGGGGACCAGGCGGGGAGCCGGGAGGGTGCTGTAAGCCATTCGAGGGAAGTTCAGCTTCATTTTCTAAGTGGGAGCCCCTGAGCTGCTTCACATTTTACTGAACCTAAATACCTGCGAGAGAAGCCAACAGCGCCATCTCAGTTGGGGATGATGCCAGTTGGCGTCTGTGTAGCACTCATCCGCTCCGTGGGCACGCGTGTCGCCTCCATCTCCAGACACTCACTTTCCAATCTCCTTCCTAGTTCCTTCAAAGGGACCAGACACTTGGAGAGAGTGGAGTTCTGACGGGAGGAATTTAATAATCTATTGGAAGGTAAGTACCTCTCTCGCTCGAACATCGAAGTAACTGCTCTGCTGAACTGTTGGCCTTACGTGGGGATTGGGATTACAGGAGTGAGGGTTGCCCAGACGAGCCCGGGCTGCGGAGCAGTGTTGCTGAGAAGTTAGCCTTGCTCCCAGAACTTCCATAGTCCTCCTGCTGCTGCCAACTAGGCATTTTAGTGGTGATCATCTGTCTCGGATCTGAGCATTCTTCAGTTTGGTTTTATGAGGTCTATAAATGACCTGGGGATTTCAGGAATTCCTTCACCTTCACGGCAGTGAGTAACTCAGCCAGAAACCCACTGCAAGGTAGAATCCTAAGCATTGCCTACATTTTTCTTCTTTGAATAAATCAGTGGGTCCCCTACACTGTCGTACAAGTTGGGGTAATTGTCCTGCAAAGCAGTTTAGCTGTAAAAATATGTCTGAATGTTCATTTCCTTTTATCCAGTGAGTTCACTTTGGGAAATCCATATTAGAGAATTAATCCCAGTTACTATGAAAAAGGAGAAAAATGGGGCACAGAAAGGTCCACCAAAATTTGTTTAGTATTATGAAAAATTGAGAACTTAGATTTCATTGATTTATAGACTTTTTAAGTGTACTGGTAAAAGTGTCCATGAAACATAAAGCCACTTTGGTATAAAATTACATTATCATGGGCAGTGTATATTACAGAAAAGTGGGAAAAAATTGAAAATTGTATAGTATGTTTAAATAAAAAATCTGGGGCTGGCGCTGCAGGTTAAGCCACTCCGGTGACACCTGCATCCCATATGGGTGTCAGCTCATGTCCCGTGTGCTCCACTTCCAATCCAGCTCCCTGCTGCTGGCCTGGGAAAGCAGTGGAAGATGGCCCGAGTGTTTGGGCCTTTACTACCCGGGTACGTGGGAGACCCAGAGGAAACTTGGTTCCTGGCTTCAGCCTGATACAGTCCTGGCCTTGGCAACCATCAGGGGAGTGAACCATGAGATGGAAGCTCTCTCTCCCTCCGTGACTCCTGACTTTCAAATAAATAAATCAGTCTTAAAAAACATTGCTGCTGACACTTAGGAAGTGAGCACTGTTTTGGCTTAATGTTTGAGTTTCTGTTCCTCGTACAGCAAAGTGTGTCTTCAGCGTCACCTCCCTCCCTCTCCGTGGATCTCTCATCCGTGTTCCGCACTGCTAACGACTTCTTTGCTGCTGCGGGACCTCGGCTCTGTGACTGGCTCATCCAGTTAGGCGTGATGGCTTTGCTGAGTCATCATCTCTCTCTGCGACTTCTTAACGAGAGAATTTATTCGTTTGTCTTTGATAGCCTTTGCCCATTAGTGAAGCTAATGGAAAAATACTTTCCTATAATGTGTCCTGCTCATCAGAGGAGGGGACGCAGTCCCTCTCGGAGATCCCGGACCCGCAGCACAGAGCAGAAATGCAGCTTGATGGACACGGCTACATCATCAGCGTGGTGGCAAGGAATTCCGTGGGCTCGTCCCCACCATCCAGAATAGCCAGCATGGAAATCCCGCACGGTGAGTGCCTGCCATCACCCCCGTGGAGGCCTGGAGGGTGGGCTGGCTGTGGCGTCACGAGCCCCTCTGCTGGAGTCCACGGAGGGTGGGCCGGGAGCTTCATGTCCCCACACATGGAGAGTGTGTGACTGGCAGCTCCGACGTGAAGCCTGCACACGGGGCTGTCACATATGCTGGGGAGCGGTGTGGGGAGGGGTAGTACTCGTAGGGAGAAATATCTTTGTTTATTCAAATACCGCTTTAAATCCTCTCCAAGGCCGAGGGAGTTCGCACCTTGCCCACTGTCAGGAGAGAGACTCATTGTAACCGACAGAAATTCTGTATTAATAGGAATTCTTGATTGATAACCATGTCTTCAGACAGTATAAATGAGATATCATAGGCTTTAAAAAATGTGCTGTACTTTGAGAACCCACCTGTAAACGCTGTGGACTACCGGTGACTGGGCCATTCCCCCTAAGCTGCTCCCTGGACGCCTTTTGAGCTGTGAGCTTACGTGGCCACTTCTGCCTCTTCTTCCAGTTCCCTTTCTTCTCATTTCCTGTTCCCACTTTGCTGTCCCACCCCAAAATAGAACTTTGCTGTGACACCCACTCCTCAAGGTAGGAGAATTGGGCCAGGAGGGTCCTCTGAATACCTTGCCAGCTCTTGACCGAGGCGGTCTTGTTGCTCGCCCTTTAACTGGCTGTTTGCTGTGTGAGGTGGCCACAGGACAGTTAGGAGGAGTGGGCAAAGCACGGCACATTTCACAGATGTGGAGCACTGTCTAGAGCCCAGCTGGCGGTTCTGTCTGGAGAGGCCCTCGGGGCGGGCGTGGCAGGTGCCAGGAGCTGGGGGTTAGGACAGGCCATGCTCCCAGCCCTTGGTTTTATGCGCATCCTCAAGTAGGTAATGTGTTGATGTTGATGATCTTGCATTGCTGTCGCAGTGATAGGCAGTAGCCTTATTGTATCACTTATTTATTTGAAAGGCAGAAGCAGAGACTTCCCATCTGCCGATTCACTCCCCAGATGCCTGTGGGCCAGGCCAAAGCCAAGAGCAGGGAACTCGGTCCAGGTCTCCCACGTTGGTGGCAGGGACCCAAGCACTTGGGCTGTCACCTGCTGCCTTCCAGGGTGGGCATCGGGAGCAGAGCCAGGCGTGGAACGCAGGCACTTCCACGTGGGGAGGCCATGTGCCCCGTGCTGTGTTAACTGGAACTCCCTGCTCCATGTGTTCCTCCGAGGCGATCGTGGCCCAGTCGCCAGCTTGCAGTCACCGCAGCCCGGAGCACATCGTGCTTGTGAGCACTTCTCGAGTCGGAGGCTCCGCGGCCTTGGCTCTGGTTTACGTTGTGGCTTTGTAATCACTCTGAGCCAAGAAGCTGTTTTCTGTCCAAAGTCTTCTGTATGCTCCGCCAAATTGTTGTCTTGTTTTCAGTAGCAGTTGCTTTATGAATGCAAATTTTGTTCAAAAAAAAAAAAACCCTATGACTTTTTACTGAGCCCTTAAATAGAAATCAGTTCCAGAAACTGCTGCTTTTTCTCCAGTGACTGGGAAATTTCCCGCTCCCTCTGACCTCACTCCTGTTGCTGTCCCACAGCCTCGGGCCCCACGTCTCACCTAGACCAAGGTCGGGCAGGACCAGAAACAGGATCTCCTCAGCCCCACTCCGTCTGCTGCTCTCCCCCTCTTTACAGTGCACCTGTCTGCATCCCGGGTCCGTGCGTGTGTCTCCTTACCGGCTGCCCACTGGGCACATCCCTACTCTCCCCTCCTCCCCCAGGAAGCCCACGGTCCCCGTGGCTTCCTTGGAAGAAAGAGAAGGGACTAGTCCATACGTTGCTAACATACATGTTCACTGTGCAACAATTCTGCATGCTCTGTGCCAGAGGCTGGAGACAGAAACGAAACCCCCACCTCCCCTGCACCTGTGCCGCATCCCCTTAGTGCCCTGGCCCGGGACGTCCCTACCCAGCCCCAGGTGCTGCTTAGCTTCTGTGACCAAGTAAGTGCTGCAGCTGCTATAATAAAAAGAATAGAGCCACACTTCGAATCTTTGAAACGTTTATCTAGTTGGAGTCTGATTTTATAAAGAGTTTGGTAGGGTTCTGGCACTGTCAGCATTCTGGAATAGATGCGGAAGTATTGGCATTAGTTCCTCTCTTGGCGTTTTCTCAAATTCAGGTGCACAGCCACAAGGTCTTGGCCTATTTGGTGGGAGAGCATGGTGTTCTAGTCTCTGTATAGTGAAGTGCTCTCGGCGGCTGTGCATTTTGGTGATCTTTGCCATTTAGCATTGTTTGTCATGCCGGTGACAGACCCTTCCTTCTGTCCCAGATGATCTCCAGGTAGAGCAGGCCGTCGGGATGGGAAGGCGGATTCTCCTCACCTGGCGCCTTGACCCCAAAATGACGTGCGACTATGTGATAAAGTGGTGCAATACCTCCCGCTCTGAGCCCTGCCTCATGGACTGGAAGAAAGTGCCTTCCACCAGCAACGCAACAGTGATCGAATCTGGTAAGCTGAATCGGTGGCTCTCAGTGAACTCTGAGGAATGCCCACGTGGAGCTGGGAACGGCAGAGAGCGCGTTCCCCCTCGCTGCTCGGTGGGTGTGAGTCTGGCAGCTTGTACGTGAAAGGATTCTAATCCCCTGCTCTAGTCATTGCTTGTCGAGGAATTTGTGCTAAGATGCAATCAGAAGCAAACAGATTTAATCTAAGCATGCTCACCGCAGTATTAGTTATAATCATGAAAAGTTGCAAACACCTCAGATAGCTAGTAAGGGAGTGAGTAACCGGTGGTACATCTTGAAATGGACTGTTAAGTAGCGGTAACACACATCAAAGATGGAACTCGCATGGGGTGCTCCGGAGAAAACCACAAGGCCACAAGTCGGGGCCCTTGCCTGTGTTGGCCCAGGGCTGAGGCTGCAGGCTGGGGGAGACGGAGCAGCAAGGATCTGCAGCCCTTCCATTTCCCTGTAGGAAATGGGGGGTGGAGGTGGGGGGCTTGCCTTCCCAGGGCCTGGCCGCTGCTGAGGTGGCGAGCTGTAAGGCGAGCCGGCTCCCATAGGAACTTAGCCACTGAGAGCCACTCGGCCACCCTCAGGCCTGCACCCGCCTCGTCCTTTGCAGTTGGAGCCCTCTTCCCGGTTCCCTGTGCCTTCTGAGCAGCTGCAGAACTTGTGTCGGGCCAGGCACCCCAGGGGAGTGACGCTTCCTGAGCCTCTCACCCCCTCCCCTGGTTCTCCCTTGTGGGCTGGTGGAGTGTAGGACAGCAGGCAGCCCACTGGGCACTCACCGGGGTGCTGTGTGCAGTGCCATTCGCGGCATCATGGGTGGGTTCAGTTGGTTCCCCAGGGCTATGTGGAATACGGCAAGACTTCTCAACTGCACACGACTGGGCAAAGCTGGGAAGGTCTTAGTAACTCGCTTCCTGTCTCCCTTCCTACCGGAGCCCCCACCCGCCTCTTCCCTCCTGTGAGGCTGGCTGATCGTCACAGTCCCAGCCCATCCTTGTCACTTGGGCTATGCTGGGGAAGGGTGGAGGGGACATTGAGGATGTAGCCAGGGATGCAGGATTGCGCTGAGATGCGTGAGACGCGGAGGCGCCGGCCCTGTGACAGCTGAGCAGGAACTTTGTGTGCGAGTGCGGACGGGCAGAGGCCCTGCAGGGAGAGAGGAAGCCGAGGCTCAGGGGAGCCTGGCCACTCGCCCCGGGTCACACAGCTGGCATGCGGTAGCACCAGAATTCCAATCCACAGCCAGTCAAAGCTTCAAGAAGCTGCAAACTCTGTCCTCTCTTCCTGCCGAGCCTCTCGAACAGCAGGTAGCACGTGGCAGGCACTTCTTCCTCCTAGGCAGCCATGCTCCCATTCAGCCCTCTTCTGTCTCTCATGACCTCCGTGTGTGTTTCAATACCCTGACCCACTCCACTTCTTTGACACATGGTGGGACCCTGTGGCTTACTGATGACACATAATTGTAACAAAACAGGGTACATTCACCTAAAACCACTCTCAACATCACCCCCCAAAAAAGGTTTTAACACTAAACACATTTGGCTTAGTTTGAGTTTTCCAATAATCTTTACTTAGTACTTGCCAGCACCTAGCAAACATTTAAAGAAAAACTCAGCAAGAAGGAAAGGTAAGATTGAGACAAGTCAGTGCAGTTTTTCTTTGGCTTCTGTAATTTTAGAGGTTGACAGTCTGACTTTTGTGTTGCATGGACACATAATTGGAGAGCTGATGCTCTAACCACACGGGAATGGTGGTATTCTACCCAGTACATGCAATCCCGTGTGCTGTATCTCCCCGCACCAGCATCTTCATTTTCCCAGGCCACCCCTGAGGTGTTCCTAATGGCCCTTTTCATGTTGCTTACCCTGGCTCCCAGGGATCTGCTCAGACTCACTTGGTCTCTGACTGAAGGTTCCATGGCATCTAATGCGTGCTCTGGTACAGTGTGGGATCTTGTCTTGTTCACCTGTCTTCCCCGCCTCAGCACACCAGGACCACGGGTTAGGAAAGTGACCTGGCACCCAGTGCAGGAAGAAGTCCTCATGGCTTGCGTTTAAGGAATAAAAGCACTGGTCACCTTTTTTCTCTTCAAGACATTATCATCTTAGAGTAATAATCTTTGCATTAAAACAGAAGTAAATTTAATTCTAGTGTAGTGCATTTCACTCTGAATATTTACCAGTTCTGAAAATGATGCATTTTTTATTTCTTCATGTTTTTAAAAGATTCACTTGAAAGAGTTACAGAGAGACAGGAGAGAGGCAGCTATTCCCTCTGCTGGCTCACTCCCCCAGATGGCTGGAATGGCTGGGGCCAGGCCAGGAACTGCTTCCAAGTCTTCCACATGGGTGGCAAGGGTACAGGGCCGTCTGCTGCTGCCTTCCCAGGCACGTTAGCAGGGAGCTGAATCGGATGTAGAGCAGCCGGGACTCCAGCCGGCGCCCATGTGGGATGCTGGATCTGTGGGCAGTGATTAAAAATGCAGGCCTGGCACTGTGGCATCACAGGTTAATTTTTTAAAATTCTGTTTAAAGTTTTGGAAATTTCAGAGAAAGTTATAAATTTTTATTTCTAAAATAGATATTCATAGTATAATATACATTAATGAAAGTTTACTGATTGTGTTCCTCTTATAGATCAGTTTCGGCCAGGTGTAAGATATAATTTTTTCCTGTATGGGTGCAAAAACCAAGGATATCAATTATTACGTTCCATAATTGGATATGTAGAAGAATTAGGTAAGTATTTTTTAGAATTCAAGGTCACATGAAAAATTGAAAGTTAACAACACAGTAAGATTTATTGGATTCAGATGTTTAGTTCAAAGAAGATAAAATAATTTGATATTTAAAATTTTGTATTTGATTATTCGTAATCTGTTGAATGGATATAAGTTTTACTGTTATCTTAAAATTAAATCACAACTAGAATGCCAAGAATAGTTAATGTCCCCTTAAATCCATTTGGAGAAAACACTGCGTGGGAAGCAGAGGTGAAGTCGGAGCGGCCACTCCGAGGTGCTGCAGAGGCCGCCTCTGCAGATGCGGGTTTTGTCTTGAACTTGTACATTTAGACTGAATGTCTAAAAGTATTTTTTCAGTGATTTTGTGTGGTAGTTTCACTGCAGAGAGCTTGTGATAATGTATCCGAAGGTTTCTGTTTGGCTAGAGGATAAGGTTTGAATTCTGGCGTGAGCTGTTTGCGGAGGACAGACAGCTCACAAACACAGCGGCTTCCCGGGGAGGGGACGCGGCCTGCAATGGTGACCTTGTGCTTTCACAGCCCCGACCGTCGCACCGAACTTCACCGTGGAGGAGACGTCCGCGGACTCCATACTGGTGAAATGGGACGATATTCCCGTGGAAGAGCTTAGAGGCTTCCTCAGAGGATACTTGTTCTACTTTGAAAAAGGAGAGAGAGACGCATCCAAGATGAGGGGATTGGAATCAGGTGAGGAAATCGCCAGTGTGTGAGGAGTGTTTTTTAGACATTTCTCAGTAGTCACAAAATAAAAGAGGAAAGAAGGTATCGCTGAAACTGTCTGAAAAGCCAGGACATACGCACGGGGAGCCACTTTCTGAATGTGCCTGTGTTGTCTCACAGAAGTTACTCAGCCACTGATTCATAGGATACAGCCATCTCTGATTGGCTTCGTATGAGCCCTAACAGCATCTTTTTTTTTTTTTTAACTACATTTCAAAAGTCATCTCGTACGTCTAATAGTGGAGGAGAAAACTGAGAAATCCGAGGAATGGCTTTAGAGTCTCCCTTGTAATCTTAGAAAAAAGCCAAAAGCACAGTTAGTGTCTTCCTCCGCCATAGCCTTAATAAGCCGGGAAGCTTAACTGACTTCAATGGAGACTTGTGTATCCAATCAGTCTTAAATAGTACAGCCAGCCCCTGTCTCCTGGTAAATGTGTGTCGGACGGCCATGGAGAATGCTGGAACGTTTATTCAAAGTGCTGGCTCTCCCTTCAGTTCTATTTCTGCCCAGAGGCCACCGATCCTTATGTCAGAGCTGCCCAATGCAGGGTCATCACCGCAGTCTGAGAGCTTCCATTTCCCTTGATGGTAATCATCTAGTGCCTGACAGAGGAGAAAAGCAGGCTGCACCAGGGTGCTGGCCGCGGGAGTGGCTGTGCTAGGTGGGCCTTTTCCCAGGATGCTGAGCTCTGTGTCTGCTGAACCCTCAGGATTGCCTTTGGTCAAGGGATCCCTAAGTAGTGAATTCTGCAAACACCCAGAGCTAATGAAGAGCTCGGGAACTTTACACCCAAACCAATTGAAATTGGAGCAGCCGGATTTCCAGTTTCGCGCGGTGCATTAGTCACTAAAGTCAGAGTTAAGGGTGCGGGGTGGGCAGGATGTCTCATGAAGCCACAAGGTGAAAGACAATGGGAGAGGCAGGACGTCGACAAAATGAATTCAGAAATTTAGAGGTAAAATTGGAGCAAAAGACTGAAGAGTATGGAAGTGGGTAGTCGGTGTCATTGGGATATAGTGTGAATGATCGTATAGGACCAGTATTAGAGGCAAGTGGGCTGAATAGAAAGGGTTGAGAGCATGGAGTCCAAGGGTCCAGCAGAATGTGTCACTGTGAATGCTCAGACACCTCACACCTGTACAAAAGGACTGGAGCAAAGCAGGGCAGGGAGTAGCAGCGGCAGCCCCACTGTGCAGCGAGGTCTTGAAACTGGCACGGGAAGGGGTTTCCACCCTGTGATCCCGTACTCTGCCAGTCCATCATCCAGTCTCAGAGTGGAAACGGTTCAGCTGCGCAAGGCTCGTTAGCTGCTCCCCGATGCCTTTCTCAGGAGGAAACGGAGTGGGGAGATCCTGAAAGCAGCAGAGGAGAGAGACAGGGAGCTGCAGAAGGCAGGGCAGGGTGTCGGGGAGGCGGTGGGGGAACTGGACTGTTCTTGTGTTTGGCCTTATGGGAAACTACACTGAATATTCATTGAAGAGGTGGGCAGAATTGGGAACTGGTACAAAGAAAAATCAAACAAATAGCGAAGCCGACAGAAGCCCGGCAGTTGCAGCAGCAGGGGAACTAGAGGGAACAACAGTGGGATCGCCCAGTGTGCTGCTGGTGCCCTGACCGCCATGGGGGGCGGACACACAGTGGCGGCGTCCAGGTGCGGAGTCTACCTCTGCCCGTGTAGGACATGAGTCCGTACTGCCTAAAATGGCACAGTCGGCAACTGGCACTCTCAAGCTTGTTCTTGGAAATACAGACGTTGATAACCAAAGAGAGGAGATGGGGCAAGAGAGGGGCTGTGGGGAATTGGCTACTTTTGTTATGAGCCATTTAGTATTAATTATGTGAACGATTTCCTTTTCTGGTTAAAATTTTTAAAACTAAAATGAGTTCGCAGTTGTTGATACCTTTCTTTTGAAGTGCCTCCCGGACTGTCCCCTCCCCCAGGTCTCGCCCTTTCCCTGTCTGATGTCTGCTCTGCTGATGTGTGCGCCTGCTCCCCCCAGAGCAGCCTGGGTGGGTGGGGACGGCGGTGGTTTGCAGGCTTTTAGGAAGCAGAGGGAAGTGACATTTGTTAATTGCCTGCTGTGTGCCAGGCATTTTCTTAAAAGATGTGTGAAAACTTCACACAGGTCAGCAGGTAGGCCACAACACTTTGTTCTCAGAGAAGACTCAAGTTCAGAGTGGCTGCAGTATGACCACAGCCTGGCACAGGTGCGCCTTGAAGGCGGCTCTAAGCGGCTGCAGATCCTCGGCCAGAGGTGGCCGGCACCGAATTTAGGAGGGCAGTGGGTGTGACGGGGTCAGTGCTAATGTGTTTAAAATGATGCAGAGGCGAGTATCCATATTCTTCTTTTAACAATAGGTCGTTCCGACATAAAGGTTAAGAATATTACGGACCTATCCCAGAAGACACTAAGAATTGCTGATCTGCAGGGAAAAACCAGTTACCACCTGGTCTTGCGCGCCTACACGGATGGTGGGATGGGCCCGGAGAAGAGCATGTACGTGGTGACCAAGGAGAACTGTAAGTTGCAGACTGCCATGTCTTGTGTGCTTGCGTGCACGAGGTTCCTAGTGGCTTGTGGTTGATGTAGGTAACCTCCGGCCGGGCCCGTTGTTTCAGCTTTTGTTCCTTTGTATGGCGAGCAGAGGGCAGTGTGAAAAGGCCAGGAGACGACTTCCTGCTTGTTCTTGTTAGCTGGAGCTCTTCCAAAGCGGTACCTACCTAGGAAGGACTTGGGTCTAGCTCAGCACCTAGAGGTCTCAATTCCCAAAAATGTGTAACATGGTCAGCTGCCTTAAAATGTTTTTGTTCAGCTAGTCTGATTTTTTAAAGACCCAGCGAAAGTTAAAAAAAAAAAAAAAGGCAGGGGGTTGGGGGGCAATGCTGTGCTTGGCTGCCTCGTTTCCTACCCTGAGTTGGAGTTCCTGTGCAGCTCTTCAAGAAAGAGCCATAAATATGGGGCTGCCTCACACACGGGGGCACCCTGGGGCCCCCTGGCCACGTTTGGTGACACTTGGTCATAACTAGGACTGCTGCTGCTGCCTAATGGTTAAAAGCCAGAGATGCTGCCACACTTCTGCAGTGCCCGGGCTGCTCCTGCACCCCAGCACAAGGAAGGCTCTGTAGTCGGTAGTGCTGAGCCCGAGAAACACTGCTCCGGCACACTGAGGCCTCTTGTGTCAAACTTACTTAAGACCTGGAGCTTACATAGTCAATAGCGTTCCGGTGCTCCCGAACAGCTTTTTAAATGCAAAATTACCACCATAAAAATCTCATCCTAGCAATGTTTTCAATGCTTTACACTAAAAGTGGCGATTTTTACCGTTTGCAACAATTTCTCTTTCCAGCTGTAGGGCTGATTATTGCCATCCTCATCCCGGTGGCCGTGGCTGTGGCTGTGGGCGTGGTGACAAGTATACTTTGCTATCGGAAGCGAGAATGGTAATGGTGTTGCGTGTACACTGCTTTGGTGCTTAGCTGATGTATTCTAGAATAAGCCCATCGTTTGCGTTAGTAGAATATTTTTAAAGTTAACATTAGACACAAACTTGACCCAGTATTCAAAGCAGAGTGAAAGTATAAAGTTTTCCTATAGTTTTTGCTAATAATTTAAAGTAATAACAGTTGTACTAAATAAATAAGACAGTGGATACCTGCAAGAATTAAGCTCTGCTGTCCTACAGAAAATCTGGTCCCCTTGGTTGTTTATTCACTCAGTCCTAGTGGCCCCTTCCATGTGCGGGAGGGGACACAGTGAACGACGGACTCGGGGTCCTTATGAGCTTAGAGCATGGCCGAGCCCAGCAGCATGAACCTGCCAGCTCCATTCATTCTGTGTGTGTAGGCAGCTGCCAGAAAGATGGGACCTATAGGGCCGTGTCATGAGGGGTGGTCAGCCTGGCTGCTCCGGGGAAGGCCCCAGAAAGGTAGGGAGGGCCAGAGTGTTCCAGAGAAGGGCACTTCCATGAGGTCCCAGCTCAACCTCCAGAGCAGTGGAGAAGAGCCGGGCGAGGTGAAGGGGCAGCGTGCAGGCTCTGAGCCACAGGAGCCGCCTGGGCCGTCACTGGCCACCCCATCACGAATGACAGACAGGAGGAGGTATCCCAGCAGTCCCGCTTCTGAATCACGAGACTAACAGTTGTATAGCCGAAGCGTAGCTCAGCTCTTACTATCAGAGATCACACTTGGAAAATAAGTCTTAAGAAGGGATTTTAGAAGTCAGTGTTTGATTCATATTAACATTTTTGTTCAGGAATTTGATTTTTAATGTTAGCTGTAAATATAGAAATGAGAAAACTAAGAACTCTCATTTGTGTTTGCATTTAGTTCTTGCTCAAAATTAATAACCTACCTTCTCAGCACCGCAAGTAAGGTGCTTAGGGAACACATGGCTGTCCCCTTGATTGCTGCTCGCTTTTAACCACCTTGGCAAAGCAGCCTCGTTGCACCACAGCCGTTCCTTGTGCAGTCCAGGCCCTGTTAAGAGCAAGAGAGCACTGGATATGCAAAAGTATTGGCCAAGTCATGGATCATTCTTACTAATTGGGAAACTTTGGTTCTAAGAACAATGCCTGTGTTTTACTCCAGACTTGATAGCATAGTCACCACTGGAATTGTTTGCCATTTCGAAATGGAATTACCGTAGGGAGTCGATCGGAACCTCTCCGTTGTATAGAAAGCTTCAGCGAAGGCTCACTCAGCATCTCCCACTGCTGCTCAGACAGGCATTAACCTGCATGGGAAGCATCCAGATGAGCTTGATGACTTGCTACTACTGTCTGATAGCACAGTTACTAAACTGACTTGATCATTCTTTATTTAAAGGATTAAAGAAACCTTCTACCCTGATATTCCAAATCCAGAAAATTGTAAAGCATTACAGTTTCAAAAGAGTGTCTGTGAGGTAATCCTTTATTTTCTTCCATTTTCATTCATTGTTTTTGTTTACTATGAATGTCTTCCTAAGTGAAAAGTAATGAGAAAATAGCACGCTGTAAATCTGCTGGGTTAATATTTTTTTAAGATTTGCTTATGGATTTAATAGGCTGAGAGAGAGTCCCATCTGCTAGTTCATTCCTCAGATAGCTGTGTGGGCCGGGCCAGGCCAAAGCGCAGAGGTCAGAACTCCATCCCTGTCTTCAGTGTCCGTTACAGAGAGGCTCAAGTACTTGAGGGATCAGGTACTGCCACTGCCTTCCCAGGCAACTGAGAGTAGCCTTGACTTGGAAAGGCTTTAACCCACTGGGCTACGGTGGCCACTCCCTTTTAAAATCTTTTTTACTTTGCGTTTACAGAGAGAGAGAGAGAGACAGGTCTGTATACTTGTTCACTCCCTGGATGCCCACAGCAGTGGGGACTGGGCCAAGGGACCCAAGAACTGGAGCCATTACCGGCTGCCTCTCAGGGTGCACATTAGCAGGAAGCTGGAATAGGAAGTGGAGCCAAAACTGGAACCCAACCCAGGCATTGCAGCCTGCACCCTAACCAGTGTACTAAGTGCCTGTCCCTGCTGAATTTCTAAAAGCAACTTCAAATAGTTTATACTGTGCTCTTTTCCACTCCTATCACCAGCCAGGAAAATACTGATAGGGAAGCAAAAAAGTGACTTGTCCCAGAGCGTCAAGTGTTTAGCAGCAGCTGTGGTAAAAAATTGATCCCCCTGTTATGAAAGGGACATTACCGCAGCATTTTTAATTGCCTTAAAATTTGTTTCTAGGGAAGCAGTGCTCTAAAAACATTGGAAATGAATCCTTGCACCCCAAATAATGTTGAGGTTCTGGAAACTCGCTCAACAATTCCTAAAATAGAAGATACGGAAATCATTTCCCCAGTGGCAGAGCGCGCCGCAGAGCGCTCCGACGCAGACCCGGAGAACCACGTGGTGGTGTCCTACTGCCCGCCGATCATCGAGGAGGAAATCCCGAACCCGGCGGCCGAGGAGGCCGGAGGGCCGGCGCAGGTCATCTACATCGACGTGCAGTCCATGTATCAGCCTCAGGCGAAGCCCGAAGAGGGACCGGACCTGGACCCTGTGCCGGCCGCAGGCTACAAGCCACAGATGCGCCTCCCTGTTAACTGTGCTGTGAGCGCCACGGCTGTAGAGGACGACCTGGGCAAGACTGCAGGTTACAGACCTCAGGCGGATGTCAACACCTGGAACCTGGTTTCTCCAGACTCGCCGAGGTCCACAGACAGCACCAGCGAGGTGGTTTCCTTCGGGAGCCCGTGCTCTATTAATTCCCGGCAGTTCTTGATTCCTCCTAGAGATGAAGACTCTCCCAAGGCCGGGGGCGGAGGGTGGTCCTTCTCAAACTTCTTTCAGAACAAGCCCAACGATTAGCCGCGGCGCCCCGGCCCCGAGCCTGCCATCTCAATAAGCTCTTCCTGCTGCTGGCGCCGCGGCGGCGCCGGAGGGATCCTGGGAAGTGTTGTTGGCGGCGACTTGAGCACACGCCAAGTCCCGCGCAGAGTGTTAACGTGCTTTTTGTGTAGTCCAAAAGCCAAAGTGTACTGACTCAGAATCCTCCGTCCACACAGCTCGAGCCGGAGCCGCTGGTGATCGAGCCAAAGCATCCGCCGTGCTCTGCCTTCCAGAAGCGTGCTGCGGCTGACACCGTCCGGCGCATCCACGCAAGACGAATCCCACAGCAACTGTTCTCTGTGCCGCTGTGAATGGTTTTCTCATCTGTGCGCTCTGTGGCATTGCCAGTGAATTTGCAGGCGAGGGAGGAAGCTGTCAGAGTGGCCTGGCCCCTCCATTCTTGATGAAAACCAAGCACAGATTTTCAAACGTGTAAGATGATTCTCCTCTATCGACAGCATTTACAAAACTTAATATAATTTTTAACATAGCGAGAGCTCTTTAGCGTTTTGTTTGCGTATGCTGATTTCTGTGCCTACTGTATAATGGTGATCAAATAGTTGTCTCAGGGGTACAAACTCGGAAAACGAGCATGACACTGACCAGCCCAAATTGGAATCCTGTTTTCTTGCCATGTTAAGCTGTTCCAAACCTTTCTCTCTAGGTTTCCTGCTAGCATTGGTTAGGGAACTTGATAGCCCTCACATCTGAAGTTTAATTTTCTAGGTTTGCATCCCCAGGTGTTTTAAAAGCCTGTCGTATTTTTGTGCGAGTTATCAGCCGGTGAGACCAGTGATTCATGCTGGGAGGTGACTACTAAGCAATAGACAGCGCCATCAGTGGCCCGTGTCACCCTTCTGTTCCTCCCTGGGGTGCGGCTTTGCGCCCCCTGAATGATTATTGGTTAAAACCATCTGATTCACTCAGATTTTTAAGTGTGACGTGAGAGAAGGCTTCTTCCAGAAACAATTACTCAAGGGCTGTTTCCTATGACAAGTCATAAAACCCATTTGAACCAAGGTGCATGCCCAGGTTAACAGGTGCAGCAGGTGCCTGCTGACCTGGGCTGAGGCCCTTCTGTCCCCTCCCCCTTACCTGGAGTGAATGTGGTTTGAGAAAAGCAGAATGAAAAGCTCCCAAGTCTGTCTTGTATTTTCCCTGGCCTCAGGCTGTCTGCGTGGTTTGTCCTTTGCTAGTTAAGGTGAAAGTACTTGAAATTTTGAAATAATCTGGATGAAGGTATACTTTTTAAAAAGTTTTGAGGTTGTGCTGTATACTTGTAGAAAGTTTTTTTTCTAGTTCATATTGTCATTTCAAAACCATATTGTAGAGAAACATCACAGGGTGACAAGGGATAAAACTGTTTTTAGGTACTCACTGTAGGAATCTCATTTCTCACCGCTAGGATTCAACTAAATTTTCCAGCCTCATGCTACACGGATATGTGCAATGAAATGGAATTAATGCACACATACAATCCATTAAAACTATATAATCACTCACAGAAACTGACACTAATGAACAACTCACCTAAGCAGAGCTGTCCGTAAAGCGTGAGCGTCCGCCCTGGAGCCTCAGAGCCGCAGCTGCCTGCTCTCCCTGCCCTACACTGCCCTCCCTGAAGCCTTCTTCCCTGCTGGAACTCAGAGGTCACACACAGCCTCGCTGTAGGACAAGGTCAGCTGATCTGAACGACACACAGGAGGGTCAGGACAGAGTACCAGGTCCCTGTCATCAGTCCCCGTGCAGTTCACGTGTAACCATCTGGAGCCAGGACCTGTGTGGGGCTGACAGTTCTTGACTTTACTCTGGGTCTTCAGTTCGTTTCTGTAGACAGCTCAGAGTCCGCTCTCGCTCCCTCCGGAGTTCCCTAACAGGGATCACTGGGTTCCCGAGCAGCAGAGTAGCACTGTGCAATCTGGGCAAACTTCTTCGAGCTTGTTTTATGCTTTGAAGAGTGGGGCTTAGACATACAGCCCAAACAGAGTTCCTTGTCTTTCCCCTGGGGTGGACAGCAGCCAGCACCCAAGATTTTACCTCAACCCCACCGGTGGCTGTTGGGGGAGCCTCAGCGTGGAGGTGGGAGGGAAGATCCTTTGTCACGTATCTGGTTGTGTGAGAGGCCATCAAAATTTTTTAAAAAGAAGTCGTTTCCCTGCAGCCCTTCCTGCCTGGGGAAGCACTAGGGAAATCCCCCTCTCTACTAAGCCATTGGTTAGAACATTCTGAAGTCTGAACCAGAAGCCCATCCCATTAGTCTAGAAGTGCATACAGGACACAGCGTCCCTGCTCTTAGAAACTATTTCACTCATAAGCCAGTTCCACACACCATTCCCCTTTGAAAGAAAAAATATTTAACATCAGAATATTCTTGAAGACTTAGCTCTGACGGGAGACCGTGTGAGTTACGTTCTTAGCGATGAGCGCACATGCGCAATGCGAGCCCTCGGTGCGTTGAACCTGCAGGGCCCTGGCAGTGAGTGTGGCCCCAGCCTCTGCACAGTGTGTTTCTGTGCTTGTGGGACAGAGTTGCTTTGTAGCGGCGGCCGGAAACAGAAGCAGCCATTCACTGGGAGCTGTGAGGGGGAAGCGGCACGTCCTGTCCCACACCAGCATCGCTCTGACCGCTCATGGAGCTGAAGAACATGGAGCATGTGGAACACCCCGTACTACTGCACACTCAGACACTCTGGGTGGTAAAAATCATTCTCAGAACTCCACGCCACTTGCGTTCCTGCTGGGAGTTCATTCTGCAGCCTCCCGGCTGTCTTCACACTGTACCTATTTAAATAACATCACAGTGCTTGCTGTATTTGGATCATTAACATGGGCTCATTAAATGCAGTTTAGTGAAGGAGCCTAGAGTGTGCGCTCTTGCAGAGGCAATCTGTAATCAGTGTTGACGGTGTCCTGAAGTTCAAGGACTCCCTAACGTGTCAGGATCCAAAAGATGTCCTGAAGTTTTCTATTGCTCAGGCACATAATCTGATAAAACTGTTCTGTCGTCGGTTTGCTCTAAGGTAGCATTTGCTGGTTTTTAAAATTTGTATCCCTTTTATAAGATGCCTTTTGTCTTATTTTGAAAGTGTCAAATTGGCCATGTCAGGAAAAGATGAGGTCCGTAGTGCAAGTTGAGTGAAAGTTGAGTGACTTCATAAGGGCTGAGACCCACCCGGAGCGTGGCAGACTCAACAGAACATTCCTGAGGGGTGGGTGGGACATACCGACATCTGAGCGTGTTGGTTCAAAGATGGAAATCGCCTACAGGAATGGCTCCATGGTTTGAAAATTTGGAAAAGACTCTTGTGTACGTAGCACTAGCTGTCTGTCTTCTCTGTGATTTTAAGTGTTCATGGTTTATTTTTATCTGATGGGTACACAATTTGGGACATGTTTGTCCCAACCAGCGCATGTTCTGACAAACGTAGGGACCCATCTCCTTGATAAAATACTCCTTCAGAGCCTTTTACAATGGTATATTCTGCAGAAACGAAGTTTCATGGTGTTAGGCCCATCTTTTATATCCAGAGAAAATTTTTACAGAAAATGATTTGTGGCCACACTTAGAGGACATTTATCTTTTAGACAGCCTTAGAGTATCATTGGAAATGACTTGGCTCGCATTTGGTTTATTTATATCTTCATGAATTATGTGCCAGAGCAATTAATAATACTTACACCTCTCATATCACTAGAAGGACTAGCTTTTTATTTCTTTCAATGAGTACTTTGGTCTGAAGTATTACATGATGATCATATTCCACCGATTACAATACAGCTGAACAAATTGTAAGGCTGGTTACAGAGAGCTAAGAACAATATTCAGTTAATCGACTGATATGTTAGGCTTTATTGTGTAGAGCAAAATTTCAGGGATATGATTTAGTCCAGATCCTTACAGTATCGCGTTATGAGAGGGTTCCATTCTTTTTAACCATGAATAGTGCCTGTTTTTCCTCGATATTAAGAATGCTAATATTTTGGATTGAAAGCATCCAAGTTTTAAGTAGGATTTTACCTGTGTAAGACAAATTCTGTGAAGCAGTTTTACAAAATGAAAAGCGGTGTTTTAAGCCAGAAATCCTCTGCGTGTTTTTCTGAGTAAGTGCCTAGCTAGAGGACCACAGAAGCAGCAAGTTCACAAATATTTACATCTGTAACCGCTAGCTGATAGAGCAGCCAGTGAATATAGGACTTTCTGGTTGCTAGAACTGAATCCACTACAGACTAAAAGATGTGAATGAGCAAAACATGAATTCTAACTGAGCAAATGGATCTTTAATATATTTACATGTGTCTAAGATTGCCTTTGCAGTAAGCAACCAGAACTTCAAGAACAAACAAAACTCTCACACAGACCTTGGGCTGCAGACGCCAGGCATACTTGGTACACCTCACTGAATGGCTCACTCCTGTTTTCATTAAATTTCCCTGTGTCTTTCAAATGTACTTCCCCTTAGAATTATTCTATTTGAGATGAGTAACTTTCAACTGATGTGGTATTTTTCCTAAGCATTCCAGAGCTGTATTACAAGAGATGGGAAGATTCCTAGGTGGTCATACAATTTTCATTAGAACACGGGCAACTGTTACCAGTACTATTGTTACAGTTGATCACAGTAGATTGAAAAGTGGCCTTCACAAAAAATTGTTTTCCAGACATTTCTCCCCCAGTTTGAGTCCAGATATTCCCCCAGTTTTTTTATGTAATAAGCTAATGATTCTTTCCATTTAATTTTTTTTCTTCCAACGTGGTATTTAGGAGGAATATTAGTAGAGTTGTGAATAGTTGACACAAGAAACCTGAGTAGTGAGGGGAGGTAGGTATTAAGGGGTGCCCCGGGATTTGTTTCATCATAATATTTCTCAAAAAGGAAAATGGCTTTTTCTTAAATACATTTCAATTCAGAATTACTTGAAAAATACTGGCCTGGATAAGAAAGTAGGTATCCTGAATTCGACTGAGGAAATACCACCTTGAATGTGGTCAACTAAAGAATGAGCTTCCCAGGACTGATGTCTTTGCCTTTTCTTCTCTTTCATTCTCTGGCCCTAAGTCCCTTTAACACTAGGAAATTACCGTGTTTTACTTTCAGAACTGCATTATAGTGAATTACTGTTTACAAAATACACATACTGTGAACAGATACAAGTTTTTGTCTTTTATAAGGTTGTTTGTAGAATGAGTGTTTTGAGAAGATGTTATGTTAATATTTTCAGTTTTTTTATAAATACTAGTAACTGTTTACTAATTTTTGTTTGGTCAGGTGTGTGTAAATGTAGCTGAAAGATGATAGGGAGAAACTGCCCGTCCAGGACCCTTCCCTTTTCATTTATAGAAATGTTACCACTACAGGCTTTTTTAAAAACATGATTGATCAGTTGTGATGTGCTGTACCTAAAATCAAGTCTCATCATATAAAGAAACACTGAAATATACAGGAAGTAAAATATTGATCAAAGTGGATCTGTCATATTCACAGAATTTTCAGTTTAATACGGGATAAAACAACTCCACGTACAGAGGTGACAACTGAAGTGTTTCCTGCCTTGTGAAAATTTTAAATATTACGTTGCTTCAGAATGGGCAATTCGGACATTTCATATCACCATCTAATTTCAGAATTTAGGTTCTGTATCTTCAGAAAACATGATTATAGCAAGAACATAGAATATAAGTAACCTATTACTAAGATACCATAAATATCAGTCTAGTATGCTTGACTGTTAACTAAAGATGTTACTTATGTCTGTTTTTAAAACGTGCATGTATTTAACAATTTTATCATAGTATTGTCATGGAAAAAATAAATATATTTTCTTACATCTTACACTGACAGATTGGGGCATTATTTTGGGGGGGGGGTTGGTTTTTTCCCTCCTGTCTTAAGCACTTGGGCAAAGTGGCTTCTGCTTGGTTGTAGCTAGTATTTTTATTCTAGCCCCAAAGAATTACAGTGGTTGTGAAGCAGTCATCGAGGGCTGTGGCTGTATTTTTTATATTTGAGTACATTGCTATGCCATGGGTACAACTTTCCACTCAATCACCTTTCTATGTACCAAGAAAAGTGAACATAAAGTACTCAAGCAGTGGGTATCCAGCATTAGCAGTAAACAGTGGTCCTTAAAGTAAGATATTGAATTGATTTCCCCTGAAGGTAGCCTGAGCATCTGCAGGTTCTGGGAATGAATCAGCGATTCAATTTACTGATTTTTAAATCAGTCATCGATTTTGCAACACCTCAGTAATTTTGAGATATAAAATGATCTGGAGTGACTCTAAAAAGGAGAAATGAAGTTCTCCATCCTAACACAGCCCACAGTCACAACCTAGCCGTGACTGGCCCTGGCCTTAACCTGAAGAGGCTACAACCAACTGTAAATTAACTGGGAAACATATGTCAGCATTTAAGCGCCAGAAAGCTCATGCATGGAGTCTGTCGGGGAATTCTCAGTGCATAACCTGTTTCCCAGATGGTGAATGCCTGAGCCAAAATACATAGCACCATCAAGCCCAGGAACTTCAAATAGGTCAAAGACGAGGAGTGATGTAATATTCAGGGGGCAAGAAGAGATGTACAACACTTGTGAAAATGCATAGTATTTAACATTCCACTAAAATGTTAGCTTGCGAACTCAAGTTCTTTACCAAAAAGCTGGAGAAGAAAGTTGTTTTAAATGACCTGTTTGTCTACTGCCCTGCCTCTTGCAGTAAGCAGCAGTAAAAGTGAGTTCAGAGTGTTTAGTCTGCCAGACACAGGGAAGCTAAAGTATTACGAGATGCCTTGAACCAATTTTGGATTAAATTGGAGATGATTTTGTCCCTGGGTGATTAGCCTGAGATTAAAGAGACAAGCATCCCAAGGCGATTCTGATATAATTGTCAAGCAGGAACCATGGGAAAATGGGTACCATCCCAGTATATTGGCCTCTCCTAACTACCTAAGCATTTGGAAGGCGGGACAATGTCAGGTTTCAGCTGGGATTCCATCTGGGTTTCCCCTCTGCCTCCAGCCAGCCCCTCCCTGCTGCATTGCCTGGGGTAGGAACCAGACTTTCCCATGGCAATGCAGGGGTTGGCACCCACTCCTCATTCAGAGCTGGGGCGTCCCAGCAGGGAGGCCTCAAGGCAGTACAGTGTGGAGAACAGATGGACTCCTGTGGCCCCAAATGGCCCAGTCACCCAACAGGTGGAGCCCCAGTCTGCTGCCCTGTGCTGGCTGGTGCCAGCTTTCACACATTGTTCCACGCTCTGCGGGGAGGCTGCGCAGACTTAGCCCAGCCCTGAGTACTGGGGCTACCCTGGAGAAGTGCCTCAACCTCTCTCCCCATGTTTCCCTGGGGAAACGCAGGTCCTAAGGCCCTCCTTGGCAAGACTGTGGGAGGGGTGCAGGCAGAGCAGGTGTCTGAGGGGGGCATGCTTCCCTCCTTCTGAGAAACCTCAGGCACCCCTCACACTTCTCGGCCAGCACTCAAGGCATAAGCGGCTTCAAGCAGGTGTAGAGACACGTCAGCCCATTGCCCTGAGTGGAAGCTGCACAGCCCAGGGCCTGCTGGGCAGACCAGAGGGTCCAGGGCTGCAATCCGCCTTTACTCAGGAAATGTCTTCCACCTGCGGTTTCCAGTGGAGACACTGGAGGCTCAACACCTTGTCCGGGGTCCCCAGGACCTCTGTCCACTGCCCTCACAGCCCAGACTTCCCTGAGCCCCATACCCAGTTCTAAGACTCCATTTGGTGGCAGAAATTGAGGGTTGTCTCACGGATCTGCCACATCGCCGGGGCCTGAGCAGTGTTTTGTCCATGTGCCTCAGGGGACATTCACTGGTTTAATGTGTTTCCCGAGTCACAGAAAGAGACGATTTTACAGGCGTGACCCCCACCATGGAGTAAGCTCTCACTCTGCAGAGAGGAGTCGGGCACACTGGAAGAGGAGGTGCTAACAGTGAGTGCCCTGGGTGGCTGGGGCAGACCTGAACCATGGCTTCTGGCTTAGGTATCTGTTGAATGCAATTCCCTGGTTCTCCCCAAGGAAATGTGCCTCCATCCTCTTATCCCTCGCTGGTAGGGGATGAATAGGCTTTATCTCAAGTGATAACAGGTACAACCCTTCTAACCCCTGCCCCATCTCCTCCTCACCAGCTCAGGCTCCGTATCTTTCCAACTTACTTGACAACTCACATGATCAACTACCCATTCCCATTCTGCCTGTCTTCTCCCACCAGCCAGCTGGCTTCCCAGGGTGACAGTCTTTAGATTGCCCCCAAGTCTTAACCATCCTCGCTGTGGGTAGATAAGCCAGATTTGGCCCTGAGGCCACACTGCTGTGGTCTCCTACTGTATGTACCAGAAGTAACACACATCTCTATGTACAGAACTCTTCTTCCCTCAAGCCAGACCTCCCTAAATTGCTGGGCCTGTGGTCCCAGCTTCCGGCAAGCATACAGCAGCACAATTAGTTGAGAGCGCCCTATCCCGCCACCTCCTAGTGCTTGCACTGGCCAACGTGGTGTCGCCAGGAGGGCTTCCATTCAAAGCCCATTTCCTTGAGTGTTGCCCAAGGACCAATCTCCTTAAGAAGGGGATGGAATTCCAGGTGGACAAAGCAATACTTACAAAGGAAAAACCACACTACAGGTAAAGGAAGAAGCAATCACGCAATTTTCTTATGCATCATTGGTTTTTTAAAACTTTTTTCCAGAGCAGTTCCAAGATGGCAGAGTAGGGAGGGCCCTTCCTGCTCGAGTCCAGAAGATAGTTTTGAAAAAGTGCAAAGAGTAGAGTCTCAGGGAAGAGTTAGGGAGAAAATGGCAGAGGAAACTCCACCGAAATCGGAGGGACATGGAAAACCTATGTGGAGGGCGTGGGCACCCATGGCTCAGGACTCAAGCAGCCCAGAGCCTATGCACCATTGTTGGAAAGTGAGGTGAGACCAGACCGCAGCGGCCCAAGCTACTGGCGAAAAAGCTACAGGAAGAGCCTAGAGGGAACCCAGCTTAGGGCCCCGTGGGGGATAGTGTACCAGCCAAACTAAAGGAGGAAAAAAAAAAAAAAAGGACAGGACAGACACGTTTCTCCCCAATCACTTTACAACAGCATCCTGTAACAAGCCAATAATGCAGGCACCATTGGAACATACTTAATAGCTGTGCCAGCTTGTGTCTGTGCCCAGCAACCAGCTGAGTGGAGACTCCTGACTCTGCTGAGGAGAACTAACGGGCCTAGGAGCTTGTGACTGTGGGAGGCTTCCGTATGGGACTGTGAGAAGTGTGTGGGAGGATGCACAGTGCGGCTGGGACTTTGGGAAGTCACTGTGAGAGGCTCCACACACTCAGGGCTTCCTGGTTACCTGAAGAGAGATACTGCTATGGAAACTGAACTTATACTGAGGACTGCACAGATCTTTTGTGTGGTCCTTGGGATGGAGCAGACAAATATGATGCCCACTGAGGCTAGTGCTCAGTTACTGGTCTCCATTGAGGAGAGGAGTTCAGCTGAGCAGGATAAACATCCCTTCTGATTTAAAAAAAAAAGGACACAGAGAGATAGAGAAGATTTACTATGCCAAACCTGGGTATGTCACCTTAGGCACGCCCTTAACCCTGGAGAACTGAACAGGGCTCTCTGGCCACACCCACTACAAGCCTCTATAAAGTCACTGAAGGCAGACATTCCACTTCTCTACAGTCACAGTACAAAGATGAAAGCCACCACAGCAGGAAAATTAAAAAAAAAAAAAAGGAATATCTCCACAAATGCCAAACAACAAATGCACCAATTCAAGAAACAAGAAAAAGAAGACAACATGAAGTCCCCAAAAGGATATAACATTTCAACACTAGATCATGAAGATGATGAGGTAGAAGAAATACAAGAAATAGAACTCAAAAAATTGATCCCAAGATTATACAGAAGTGGGGCCAGTGCTGAGGCGCAGCAGGTTAAAGCCCTGGCCTGAAGTGCCGGCATCCCATTCGGGTGCTGGTTCTAGTCCTGGCTGTTCCTCTTCCAATCCAGCTCTCTGCCAAGATCTGGGAAAGCAGCAGAGGATGGCCCAAGTCCTTGGGCCCCTGCAACCACGTGGGAGACCTGGAAGAAGCTCCTGGCTTCGGATCAGTGCAGCTCTGGCTGTTGTGGCCAGCTGGAGAGTGATCCAGTGGATGGAAGACCTCTCTCTCTGTCTCCACCTCTCTCTCTAACTCTTTCTTTCAAATAAATAAGATAAATCTTAAAAAAAAAAGATTACATAAAAGTAATCAGAAGAAATTACACAAAACACTGAAATCCATACAGGACATGGAAGAAACTTTCTCCCATGAAATTGAGATCTTAAAGAGAAATCAAAATGAAATGAAGAATTGAATAGAATAAAAAATGCAGTGTAAAGCCTTAAAAAAAAAATCAGTGAACCAAAAGAGAAAATATCAGACTTAAAAGATAAAGCACAGGAAAGTATACAGTCAAACCAAAGCCAAGAAGAGGAAATTAGAAAACCAAAAAACACTGTTGGGAATCTACAGGGTATTTAAAAAAAAAAAAAGAAAGAAAAAGAAACCAACATACAGGTTCTAGGAGTTCCTGAAGACACGGACAGAGAGAAAGGATCAGAAGGTCTTTTTAGTGAAATAGGAGAAAACTTCCCTGGTTTGGAGAAAGGAACATCTAAGTACAGGAAGCATATAGAACTGCTAATAGACATGACCAGAAAAGATCCTCACCATGAGACATTATAATCAAACTCACCATAGTAAAACATAAAGAAAAGATTCTAAAATGTGCACAAGAGAAACACCAGATTACTTTCAGAGGATCTCCAATTAAAGTCACAGCATA